AAATTATGCTTTTCCAGACTAAGTCGGTCGGTTCGACACCCTGTAAGATCTGCAAACACTTTAGGGCAAAGAGAGCAACATCTTGAAACAAAACTTTCCACATTATTGACAAGCTTCTGGCTCGAGGAAGTGTTAACAATAGGTTCACGCAATTCAAGGAACACAGCGGCAGCCATAAACCCAATCAAAGGCTCACGGCGAACACCACTCGTGTGAGAGATGCGCTACTCAGACTGTCAATGGTCAGCGATATCGGGTGACTCTGGCGACGTTTTGGAGGGTTCTGCAATATCAGGATGAGCAGAGATCCGGATACGCTTAAGATCCAATGGTTCCAGCAAGACGGTGCGACGCCAAAACCGCTAAAGAAAACCGGGAGGGTCTGTGCTGTGGGAGCGCTTCGGGCAGCGCGTGATCTCAAGGTTCGAGACACGCCCGTGGTCGGCGAATTTTCCGAACGTAACCCCACCGGACTTTCTCCTATAGCACCACCTCAAGTCCCAGGTGTACCGAAACCACCCAAAAAGTTCCGAAGATCATAAGGATGCAGTGAAGTCAGCGGTGTGCCGTCTGCAGCTTTCCGTGGGTCGTGCTGCAGCAAAGGTCGCGCTGCACCGGGCTAAACTGTGCATCGAGCAAAAAGGGAATCATCTCGAACATGACCTCGGCGCGGCTCAGAAAGGCGACTGCCGAGGATCAAAATCCCCTCAAAATCGCCTTAACCCTCGCCGGACCTATTGGTTTTCTACATACGCGCCGGCCGAGGGGGGGGGGGGCGGGTACGACCCCCCCCTCGCCGTTTCGCCCCTGGTGGAGCTAGCGCGTCGCGGAAAAAACGAGCGTGTGCGCCGTTACGAGACGCAGAGATTGGTACCCGATTTTAAGGTCCTAGGTCAACCGGTGACCTCTGAGGTCAGGTCAAGTGCCCCAGGGTACGGTTCAGTTTTTGGTAAATAACTTCGCAAAAAACGGCCGCAGAGCCGCGATTTTGGCAGCATCGTGTTCGCCTCGCTCAGGCGCGTCGAATGATATACTTTTTGTTCGGGTCAGGTCAACTTGGGGTGTTGACCTCAGGTCAAGGTCAGGTCAGCACCCTAAGGTCACGAAGTTGGTCGAAAGAGGTCATGTCGCATATCATTCGATTCGGCAGGTCTTTCTGAGTCCATTGGTGGCTTCCGCGACTCGCTAACTCAATTTGATCAAGAGTTATTGACGAAAAACCAATATGACATTGATGACGTCATAAATGACGTCACGGAAGGTCAACATTGCAAAAGTGACGCATCTAACCTTGCAAGGAGTGCATCAAATCACGATTCTGTGTGCTTGAGATAGTTGGAGATCGTTCCCGGCGCCAGAATAGCAGTTTGAATTTTTCCCCATAGACTTATAATGGTGAGGTCACGAAAATGACCTGACCTCATATGACCTTTAGGAAAAATCCGAGATATACAAGTTGTGAGACTCATAATGGATACTAGATCCTGCAAGTTTCATTTCCCTGTGACATCTCCTCTGGCAGTGAGGGCGTTGCGAAGTTGCGACATCTGAAGACCGTGCAGAGGTTCACTTATGACGTCATAGGTCAGTGACCTGACCTGACCCAAAAATGCGGTTGGTGTCAAAAGATCGGGCTTGAATCAAAGGTCAGGTATGCCAAGTTTCAGCTCTCTATCGCCAGCGTGTTCGGAGCTATCGCGAAAATACCCTATGGGGGGGCGGCACCCGCCCCCCCCCCTCGGCCGGCGAGGGTTAAGTGAGACGTGGCTTCGCCCCACAACCCCAAACCGACTTATTCCGGTGCCCGGATATCAGCTGTTTCGGAGGGATCGTGCCGATGGCCGAGGCTACGGCGGTGTCGCCGTGATGGTGCGGGACGGTTTTGAGGTCACAGTGCTTGACATCCCGGGCCGAGCTGTGGAGGGAACCAAGCTGGAATGCCTCTGGGTCCGAGTCCGTATCGGCTCGCGGCGAGTGACTGTTTGTTCGCTCTACCGGCCACCGGTGCAGACATCCGCTCGCGTCGCCGCCGATATTGACGAGTTGGAACGTCAGTACCAGCACGTGTTGACCGACTGCGCTGGTCCCGTACTACTGGCGGGAGACATCAACATCAACTCAGCCGGCAGAGGAGACACCACTGCGGCCAGACGTTTGCAAGAACTGCTGGACGCATATTCGCTGGAGCAGCACGTCCGCGGTCCCACGTACGAGCCGTCTGGATCCGCCATTGACATTCTGTGTTCCACCAGCAGCTGTGCCCGTGCGGGATCACTCAGCTGTGGTTGCGTACAGCCCCCACCGGTGGTTGCGTGCCCTCGTGACAGTTCCCGAGCATCGCCCACCGCAGTGTAGAGTCACAGCCCGGTGCTGGAGCAGATTTGATGCTTCTGAGGCGAATCACCGACTGCGATGTGTTGACTGGATGCCTGTTTTTTCGAGCGCCGACCCCGCCTCACAATGGGACTATTTCATTAGCCAAGTCACGCCCATTCTAGATTCGCTCGCTCCCCTCAAACGCTTAAAGGTACGAAACCCGACAGCCCCGCCGATCACTGCTGAGACCAAACAGCTGATGTCTCAACGGCGCGCGTGCTTACAACTCGGAGACCGAGAGCGATACAGGGACCTGAATCGGCAGGTTAAGGCTGCTATCCGCCGTGACACCCGTAACGCCCTGCAGCAGCGCATTCAGGAGAGCGGCCGGGGCGGCATGTGGCGTGCTATTGGTCCAGTTCTGGCGGAAACAAATGCCGAGTGCTGATGCCGATAGCATGAATCGCTACTTCGCTGATGTTGGCACCCAGATTGCGAGACAAGTAGACACCTCAGGTCCCGAGCTGCCTGTGCGTCTGCCTCGGGTCACCTCGGGACGCTTTCAGGTTCATCCCGTTACGCCGGAACGATTAGTCAGTATTATGGCCCAAATGAACAACAGCTCAGCATGCGGCGCCGACGGACTCAGCATGCGTTTCATCAAACTGTGTTTTGAACCAATTTGCCACGTCATCACGCACATTATTAATTCTTGTTTAACGTCTCACACAGTCCCTCGGTCATGGAAGCTCGCAGTGATCCATCCCATCCAGAAAAATCCTAAATCTACAGAGACATCAAACTTCAGACCAATATCCATCCTTCCAACGATCGCCAAAATCACTGAACGAGTAGTATATGAGCAACTTTTTTCCTACCTCTCAGCCCATCATCTCTTTTCCCCCAGCCAGCATGGCTTCCGAAACAACCATTCTACCGAAACTGCACTTCTGACCTTAACTGACAGGGTTTTTGAGGCGATGGATCGACGACAGGTGGCGCTACTTTGTATGCTGGACTTGTCTAAGGCCTTTGACGTGATACCCCACGACCGATTGCTCGTCAAACTTGAGCAGTACGGCGTCGACGTCCGCTGGTTCTCCAGTTATCTTACCGATCACCAACAACAAGTCCAGATTCGTACACCGGACGGTCGTGGTACTCTGTCACGGCCTTTGGACAACCCCATCGGCACCTATCAGGGATCCGCGCTCGGGCCGTTGTTGTTCAACGTGTACACCACCGATATGTCACTGTTTTTGCCGGAAGGTGCCTTGTATGATCGTTGTCTTGTACAATACTGTGATGACACGCAGCTAGCTGTACTGGGGAGTCCAAGCGATGTCGGAGCTATGGTAACCCAGTTGGAGCGGGACCTTGCAGCTCTGTCACTCTGGTTCCGAAAAAATGGGCTAAAGATTAACGCAGATAAAACTCAGATCATTGTTTTGGGCACAAGGCAGCAAATTCGTCAACTAGCCCCGATAGAAATCAGGTTCATGGGTACCACTACTGTGGGAACGTCCTCAGCTAAAAACCTCGGCGTCACTTTTGACGAGAGCATGACCTTCTCAAATCATGTGACTGATGTAGCCCGCCGATGCACCGGTATTTTGAGCGGCCTGAGTCACAGTAGGCACTACCTACCGAAAAGTACGCTGGCCACTCTGGTTCAGGCTCTAGTAGTCTCATCGATCCGGTACGCCATTTTTGTCTATGGTGGATGTGGTGTCACCCAGATGTCTCGGCTCCAGCGGCTTATCAATTTCGGTGCTCGTGTTGTGTCGGGCAAGCGGAAGTATGACCATGTAAGCGAAGTGCTGAAAGAGTTGCGGTGGCTCTCGGCCGAGAATATGTGGCGTCTACAGTCTGTCACGCTATTAAAGAAAATCCTCGAGACAGGAGAGCCCGAAGCCCTATCCAACGCGATTGTGTCGCGAGGTAGCGTGCATGGGCGTGATACGCGTCAGGCCGACCTGCTCGATTTACCCGTGATTAGAACGGAATCCGGGCGCCGCCGGTTCCTATACGCCACTGTATCGCAGTATAACGCTCTGCCTCAGGCGCTGCGCAATCTCGGTCACAGGCTCTTTCGGAGGGAGTATCGGAAGCTCCTACTGCGTGAGCAACACGGCGACCCGGCCAGTGTGTAGCGGCGCGGTGGCGCAAATGTGAATATGTGTGCAAATGTGATGCGTGTGTGTTGTATGTAATGTTGTGCCCACCTCATTCGTTTCACCTGACTCGGCAGCCAATAATAGCCATTTTCGGATGGATCGGCTTGCCACGATAAGTACAATACAATACAATACAAACGAAATATCTTTGATGTGGCTTTTAGGTGATACCCAATTATGTTTTGTTGCACTGATACACCCTTCAATACGTTAGTTATAAAATCGTCTAACTTTTTTGAGAAACCCGGTATAAAATCTCTCTCACTCTCTCTCTCTTTCTCTCTCTCTCTCCCCCTCTCTCTCTCTCCCACTCTCTCTCTCTCTCTCTCTCTCTGTCTCTCTCTGTTTCTCTCTCTCTCTCTCTCTCTCTCTCTCTCTCTCTCTCTCTCTCTCTCTCTCTCTCTCTCTCTCTCTCTCTCTCTCTCTCTCTCTCTCTCTCTCTCTCGTTCTGTCCGGCACCGTGCTGGTTCCGGTCTGCCATCCCCTGTCCCCGCCCCGTCACGGCAGGTACTCCGGCCGAGGAAGAGGTGGACTTCACCAACTGGGAGACTGTGCAGCATCAGGAACCCAGTGGTTCCTCCATCACCAACGACGACTGCGTGCTCATGGTGGGCCCCACCGCCACCGGAGAGTTCCGGAAAGGCGCCTGGCTCGACCGGTCGTGTGATTACCCGTTCAACTTCCTCTGCGCATTCGAACGGGTTAGTCACAGTGTTCCCGCGCCAAGCCGGTGCTCCGCGACTTCCGCGCCGGGCCGGGGGGGAGTGTCTGAACACCCCTGTCTAACTCGGCTCCTGGGCCACGTAGCGACACGCGGTAAACGGCATTCGAAAGAGCATCACAAATAATGACGGAAACATTTCAGTCATTTTTTGGGTCAAGTCAAAGGTCAGGTCGCCAGAGGTCATCAAAGGTTAAATGTAGTTTATTTCAACAATTTTGGAAACTGCCAACGGCTAACTCGGAACCAATAGTTACAGTGCCGCAGAAAAGCGCATTCGATAGCCCTTTTACAGACCTTTCTGAGTGTTGATCTCAGATTTGACCTCAGGTCAACGGTTTAGCCTCCAGAGGGCAAAAACTGTAAAAATGCAGTTTTCACGAAAATGGGTTTTCGTCAATAAATTTGACTCAAGAGAGCCACGACATTACTTTTGGCACCATCATGTTCCTCTCGTTGAGACGCGACGAATGAACTATTTGTTGACCTTGCAAGTTCATTTTGAAAATTTGACCTCAGGTCAAGGTCATTAACCTCACCGGAAAGTATCATATTGCATATAACTGCTATCAGCGCGTGCTACCAAACGTTTTAGTAAAAGATTTAAAATCGTTAGATCTACGCTGACGTCACAAATTCTAACGGGCATCCCAATGCATTAGCCCCTTAGAATCCGAAAACTGCAAGTTTAAAATTCCATGTCTCCGAATCAAAGCATTTTTCGATGTTGTGAGTGCCCCCAAATCGGTATTTTCAGGCCATGGCCACCAATTTGGCTATCTCAACTCAAAACTAATGTTAAGGTGGGATGGTCACTTTAAATTTTGATACTGTCATCTATTCGCACCTCTCTCATTGAATTGACTATCCCTCCTCCTTTTCCAGGACGACCCGAGCGTCGCGTGTCCTCGCTACTGGTACCTGTACGACAACTCCTGCTACATGCTTCATCACCAGGATTGGATGACCTATACTCAGGCAAATGATTTCTGCTCCTCACTTGTCACCACCGCCTCTCTGGCCAAGGTCACCAACTACGAGGAGCTGGCTGCTAACGTGCCTCTGAAAGATGCGGATTTCTTCTGGATCGGTCTTCGCTCGACGCCGACTGTGGACGGAAAACTGCTGTGGAATAACGGTGACGAGGCGGAGCCGACCAACTGGCTGAAACTCTCCTACTCCGAGCCAGACGGCGACGACTTTGGACCTGGGAACGACTGTGTCATGGTCAATGGTCTGCAGGCGGAGGAGCAGTACGCGGCCGGCCAGTGGGGCGACTATGACTGCAGCTACGAGTCCCAGTTCCTCTGCGCTCTGGAGATCTGAATTAGTTGGTAACCATGCCACTGAATATATAGTCTACGAAATAGTATGTCGTATATATGTCTGCCATGTATAGAATATATAGTCTGTCGTAGACTATGTATTCCGTACCCATGCTGAAGAGGAGCAGCTACCGCTTTTCAACAGCGTCCACGTATTAGCCTGCATTACGATAATTCGGAGGAAAGCTTGCTGAAAGATCCTAGTCTTTTTCTTTAGGTTACGTTGTGAGCTGATGGTACGAGAAACCGGATTGAATCCCAGTTAAAAGGTTTGATTTTTACCTCTTGTGCTCCTCAGTTGGGCTGGTTTGTGGAGGAAGCGTATGTATTTTATTTTTATAGTAAAATGTTCATTGCTTTGTGTTTTGGACATCTGCTAACTATAACCTAGAAAGTTGTTGCGGTCTTAGTTTTCAGTTTTCAGTTTCAGTTCAGTTTCAATTAGTTTTTAGTTATCAGTTTCTTGTTCGTTAGGAAAGGTGCGTTTGAATAAAGAAAATTAACCCTCGCCCGTAAACGGTGTTTTGCCGTTTACGGGGGGTTGGTGCGACCCCACCTGGCGTTTGAAAACGGAACGTAGTAGAGCTTAGCGGAAAAGACCAACGGATTGCTCTTAACAAGATCTCGCGATTGGTGGTACATTTTTTGGTCCTAGGTCAACATTTGACCTACTTATGACCGGTCAAAGGTCAAATTTTCGGAAAAATCTAACTTTTCAGATTTCCGCGCTGATTGCGGCAAAACGGTGAGAGATATCGACTTGAAACCTTCACTATCGTGATCCTTGATCAATTCTCTATCGTTTGGTGTGTATTTCGATGTCATAACTCTAAAAATGATGCGTTGGGAGCATCGGAAGTCTGCAAGGTCATTTGTGCATTGTGTCACGTCAGGCGCGTGACGTCACTGACCTGACCCTGACCCAAAATGAACTTCAAGAAACAACCGACGATGCCTGAAATGGATAGCAAACTCGAATTCAGGGCATCAAAATACCCTAAAAGGCATACAAGTGCAAGAAGTCATTACAGGTCAACCGAGGTCACTGACCTTACCTTGACCTTTAGTAACCTTCAAAATGTCAACGGACATTGTGCCAATGTCAAATCAGCCAGTTGTGATTCTAAAACAATCCATCATTGTGCAGGGGCGGATCCAGGAAAACTCCAAGGGGAGGGTCATGAATCGAAGTGGTGCCCCTACCTATACCCAAAATTAAAAACTCATCGGATTTCGGCCACTTCATTTTGGTGGTGCCCTATTTTCGTTTTTTGTTTTTTTTATATATTTTATTTTGTGTGTGTTGCCCCTGGCGGGCCTGTGGTGCCCCTGCTAGGCCGAAGGTGCCCCTGACAGGTTTGTGGTGCCCCTGGAAGGACTGTGGTGCCCCCTGACAAGCCTGAAGTGCCAACGACAGGCCAGTGGTGCATCTGACAGGCCCATGGTGCCCCTGCGAGGCCGGTGGTGCCCCTGGGCTCTGACGGGACTGTGGTGCCACTGATAAGCCTGAAATGTCCCCGACAGGCACGTGGTGCCCCTGACGGGCCAAAGGTGCCCCTGCGAGGCCGGTGGTGCCCCCACAGGCCTGTCAGGCCTGACAGGCCTGTGGTGCCCCTGTTAGGTCTTTGGTGCCCCTGACAGACTTGTGGTGCCTCTGGAAGGACTGTGGTGCCGATGGGCCCTGATAAGCCTGAGATGCCCCTGACAGGCTCGTGGTGCCCTTGCTAGGCCTGTGGTGCCCCTGGCAGGCCTGTGGTGCCCCTGACAGGCTCAAGGTGCCCCTGCGAGGCCGGTGGTGCCCCTGGAAAGACTGTGGTGCCCCTGGGCCCTGACAAGACTGAGGTGCCCCTGCCAGGCCCGTGGTATCCCCGACAAGCCCATGGTGCCCTTGCTAGGCCTGTGGTGCCCCTGACAGGCCTGTGGTGCCCCTGGCGGGCCTGTGGTGCCCCTGCTAGGCCACTGCTGCCCCTGGGCCCTGACAGGACTGTGGTGCCCCTGACAAGCATGAAGTGCCCCCACAGGCCCGTGGTGCCCCTGACAGGCCCAAGGTGCCCCTGCGAGATCGGTGGTGCCCCTGGCAGGCCTGCGGTGCCCCTAGCGGGCCTGTGGTGCCTCTGCTAGGCCGCTGGTGCCCCTGGGCTCTGATAGGACTGTGGTGCCCCTGACAAGCCTGAAGTGCCTCCGACAGGCCCGTGGTGCCCCTGACAGACTCAAGGTGCCCCTGCGAGGCCTGTGGTGCCCCTGACAGGCCTGTGGTGCCCCTGGAAAGACTGTGGTGTCCCTGGGTCCTGACAAGCCTGACGTGTCCCTGCCAGGCCATTGGTGCCCCCGACAGGCCCGTGGTGCCCTTGCTAGGCCTTTGGTGCCCCTGACTGGCCTGTGGTGCCCCTGGCGGGCCTGTGGTGCCCCTGCTAAGCCACTGCTGCCCCTGGGCCCTGACAGGACTGTGGTGCCTCTGACAAGCCTGAAGTGCCCCACAGGCCCAAGGTGCCCCTGCGAGGCCGGCGGTGCCCCTGCGAGGCCGGCGGTGCCCCTGGCAGGTCTGTGGTGGCCCTGGCAGACCTGTGGTGCTTTTGCTAGGCCGATGGTGCTCCTGACAGGTCTGTGGTGCCCCTGACAGGTCCGTGGTGCCCCTGCTAGGCCTGTGGTGCCCCTGGCGGGCCTGTGGTGCCCCTGGCGGGCCTGTGGTGCCCCCGAGCCCCAAGGAGGGGGTCATGACCCATGTGACCCCCCCTTGGATCCGCCACTGTCACTGTGTCAGGTCAGTCGGCATTTATACCAATGTGAAGCAATCTTAATTTAGCGTAAATCTGACCTGAGGTTGTTCCCTTTATGACGTCATAACTCCGTGACCTGACATGACCTTGACAAAAAAATACCAAAGTTGCGCAAAGGATGCCCCATAGGGTACTGAAAATTTGAGCAGGCTATCTGAAACGGTTCGGCGTGTAGCTAAGAAAAACCTCAGGGGGGGGGGGGTTGCACCAACCTCCCCCTACATGGGCGAGGGTTAAATATTAGGGAGTGTTCATGTTTGGCTTATGGTATTCATTTGTTGGTTTGGAAAAAATATGCAAAAATGTATCTTTTAACGTGATCACTTTGGAGGGCTTGCCACCCCCACCATCCGCCATCGATTCGCAATGTTCATGAAGTGACCAGTATTTGCCCTCCCAGAAAATAGTTAAGATTCACTTAAAATAAAACTACCTGCCAACGTTCTTAGGAGCCGAGCATCGCACGACTTTCATCATTTCCGAATGACTGAATACATATCGTCCGAGTTATTATCGGTTTTATCGAAATAATGATACCACACACACACCTCGCGACGCCCATTCAAACGAGGGCTCAATAATAAAGATGCAAAGTCGTGAGGGCATTACATCAGCTCCGTCTGAGAACGCAGCTATGTTTGACACAGAAATACAGAGTCAACTCACAGACCCATGTAAAGAACACAGCGGTCAGCGACACGGAGCATGAAGTACAACATATCGACACGGAGTATAGAGCTGCATACACTGCAGTTTTACTGTCTGATGTTTGCAACAGTGCTCGCAGACTAAAAGTACCGTCAGTAAAAGTACGAGCCATCCGTCACAGACACGACAGGTAGGGGAGAGTGGGGCAAAGCGGCCACCCTAACGCTTCTCACGATGCCAACGCTTGATTTTTAAACTTGGAAAGATTCTTTCTATACCAATGTGATCCCTATTAAGTTGCCTTTTATTTCAACTGCGTTTTATTTCCAAAAGCGTTCACATATGAAAGATATTGACAAAACTTTAAACCTATGCATATTGGCCACTTTGCCCCATACCCTGGGGCAAAGCGGCCACCGGCGTCTTCTCAAGTCCCGATATGAGGAACAAAATAGTTGCCTCGTGTACGACTAGGGTATTTGATGGTGACAAGGTTAAGCGAGGATGGATGTTTACTTTATCATCTTCCACCTGTAGGTAAACAAAGAAAGGATTTTCATGAAAAAACATCTAATTGCATTATTTGGTAACTCATGCAACTGAAAAGTGGCCAAGATGAATGCATGACGACACATTTGAATATAAATAATGTTTTTTATCCAGATGGAAACAACTTATGGCCAATTGGGGGGTGGCCACTCTGCCCCGGCCACTTTGCCCCGCGCATACCGTCCGAAACAAAAACATTCCAGCTTAGCTATTAGTGGGGTAAAAAACATTGAAATTGGTAGAATTCATGTACGATAACCATGCAATGCATGGACAAGAACGCTTATAAAAATTCCAAACGGTTATGGAATAACATAACATTTAAAAATTGTAAACATAGTTGGTAACCTGGCAAGAAATGATTTTCCGTGTTTCACACAACAATGGTGATGGGCCTGAAACCCCGGTCTGGCTCATTCGAACGACCGTGAAGAGAAGTATAATTGGAAACCATAAATTGGAACTGACGCCAGCTATGAAGGGCTAAAACGATGGGTGGCCGCTTTGCCCCGGGTGGCCGCTTTGCCCCACTCTCCCCTACGTACACAGTCTAAAAAACAAACGAACACACAACTCGATGCTCGACAGAGTAAAGGTGCAGGACTGCAGGTGCTATAGTAACACTGCCTGCTGAATGCCACTAACTTCAGGGTCGCAAGCGCTACAAGTACAATGCCTCCGTCTGAGGAGTGCAGCGGTGCTCGACACAGTAAAAGTTCACCCCGTCGTCACGGTGGCAGAGCGTCCCGTCCGGTAGGAACGGCCCGTCGCCGCTAGCATCCGTTCCGAAGAACACCTCGGTCGGCCACCAGAAGAGCTGCCCGCCGTCTGCGTCCTTCCTGCAGCGCACGGCGCAGGCGGCGGCCGGCCGCGCCGCATCGTGCCGCACCCTCAGCGGCTCGGCAGCCGGGTCCGACCGCCGGCAGACGCGGCGCGCGTCCCACACCCAGTGGCGGAGGCGCGGGCAGCGCGGCGCACACAGCACCCGGCGCACAGTCGGGCCGGCCGCGCAGTGGGCAGCTCGGGACGGATCGGCACCCACACAGCGCCGGGTGAAGGTCTGCACACCCAGAGAGCCGGGGTAGCAGGGCGACAGGCAGCCGCCGAGCGGCTCCCAGCCGGACCAGCTGCCCTCCTGCGCGGCGCAGGGCCCGACGCAGGGCGCGCACCGGCCGGCGCGACAGACGCTGCGCGACCCACACACCGAGCCCTCCAGAGCGGGGCCCGGACTGAGCAGGTCGCTGTACCGCTCCAGATCGGCTGCGTCGAGCAGCGAGTCCCGGATCGCGCGCACGGCAGCCGTCTGACAGGTCAGCCTCCGGCAGGGGTCGGGGTCGGTGCCGGAGGTGGCCAGGGGGTCGCCCAGCTGAAGCTGACACTGGCCATCCAGGGAGGGCAGGGACGGCGGCGGCGGTGGCGGCGGCGCGCCGGCCTCCCGCAGACAGCCGGGCCAGAGCCGACGAGCGGCCGCCGCGCTGCAGGCCGACCACTGCACGCCCGGCCGTCGGCTGTCCAGCCCGGAGGCCATGACGAACCCGCTGTCGGGACAGTCGTCTCCGTCACCGTCGTGATACAGCCCGAGCGTGTGTCCCAGCTCGTGTGCGGCAGTGAGCGCAGCCAGGCCCAGTCCGTGTGTGGGCAGCGCGTCCTCTCGGCCCGCCACGGCGCCGAACTGGACGGCCGCGCAGCCGGAGTGCGCGCCGTCCGCAACCTCCCCGCAAACGGTCCCCAGCCGCGCCACGCCCAGCGCACTGCGCTGTGGCACGCCCAGTGGTCCGCCGACCAGCAGCATCCCGACGTCCCAGCGGTGGCCTGCGCGCTGCTGGACGCCGGCGTGCAGCTCACAGAACCGATCCAGGGTGGAGTTAGCGGCACCGCGAGCGGCGGGCGGCCGCTCCCTCCAGAGCTCCACCTCGGGGAAGGAGAGTGTCACCGTCAGGCCGAGCGACGGGTGCCGGAACACGGCGGCCACCTGCGCCAGGAAGTGGTGCACCAGCAGCGGCAGCTGGCCGCGGCCGCCCACCCGCTCCAGCAGCGACTCGTACACGTCGATCGCCTGGGGATCCACGAACGCGGCGACACGCAGCTCCAGGGGGCCGGTGGGACCACTGTCCGCAGCGCGCCGCGCTCTGCCGGTGCTGACAGGCCTGCTGTCTCCAGAAGGTCTCAGCTCTTCATGGTTGTGAGCTCCAGAGGGCTGGTTGGTCGACGTTAGGTGACCAGATTTTTCATCGGGTGGCCTGTCTAATGGCTGACGAGTAACCCAGTACCGATCTTTAGAGTCTAATGCCGGGGCTACCGAGATGTGCTCTTCAGCAGTGAAAACATCACCGAATGTAACACCGCCTGGAAGAAGTGACACACCTCCCTGCGCTGGTGGCGCTGCCTGGAGGAAACGAGCTTGGTCACCATGTTTCCAGGCGTCTCCATCACCAGGCAGCAGCGGTATACGAGTGCTAGTGTTACCCTGGATAATGTGTAGCACTAGCAGTTCGCTGGTGACAGTTTCCACAGAGACTGACGCCGGCTCGTAAAGCGAAGGGATTTCATCGGACCTTGTCTGACTCTGAGTGTAGCCAGGATCTCTCGATGTAAACTGTAAAGAGGAATTACTTGTCATCGCATTGGATGTAATTTATTTCGATGGAGAAGAAAACGAGGCGTAGATATATTGGACAGGTATGTAGTAAAGAGCCAGTAGCCTACGAATATATTCATAATTCAAGAAACAATTACACGTAGATACAAAATAAGCGGAACGGTTTCGTCTATCACGTTTTATTATGTATTCGCATGTCACGTTTTATCGATCGTTTTATTTTTGTATCTTATTGTGTCTTGAATAGGGGAAGTTGGGGGAACGCCGAATACTTTTTTTCTGACGCCCGTAGCACGCAAGGTAGACAACATAAGCTATTCTTGTTGGCGTCATTCGAGAGGCCAGTCTTTTGTCTTTCAAACATACCAGGCGCATTTGATGAATTCGCATACCGTTAACCGCAAAAACTAAAAATATCAAAGAACTGACTTTTTCGGCGTTGCCCCGGACTGCGGGGAAAGCCGAAAATGGGATAAATGATCTACGAGGAATGCCGACATTGATGTTTTGCCAATTTATCTCAAACTTTATCCAAAATTCATCAAAGCTGACACGCGTTTTAAGAGCTTGAGGACGCTTGGTGCACACTGGAAGTTATAATTGTGTGATATAATAAGAAAATGCCAGGTAAATAATTCCTTATAGGTAACAGGCCGTTGTGCCGGCTGAAAGTGTAATTTGTTTGACTAAAAATACGCGTTGCTATTCTACAGCAGTAAAGTCCACGTAGCGTGCTTTAACGTGCGTAATTGCACGTTTTCGGCATTACCCCAGCCAGCCATACTTTCATTTGCAGGCCCATAACTTTTAAACGTGCTGTATAAATTTCAAATAGGCAGCACACTTATGCAAAGACATGCTGAAGATTACTTGACCGAATTGGCCAGACAAACGGTAGCATAATGAGTAAGAAATGCAGCTTCAAAGGCGCATGTAGTACAAGGGAAACGTACCTTGAAAACACTTTTGGCGCCCTCACAGCCGAAGTATTCCAAATGACGACTCGTAACAAACATGCGATAATTGTAGTCACTTAAGCCTCAGAGCATCACTGAGACGTGGCATCCATGTCGTACGGTTTTAGAAATATCTCGAATTTCGGCTTTGCCCCAACTCCGGCATTGCCCCAACTTCCCCTATATTCATAGGCTACTGGCTCTTTACTACAAAACGAGGCGTCTTTCAAAATGAGTGCTGATCATTAGGTATAGTGCAACAAACAAGTTTCAGCAGCTTTCTACGTCATTGATTTGCTTCATGAGGGACTCCTTGGGTTCCTTGTGCTGATGTCGTCACTACATAAGCTGCAAAATGTCAAATTATGCTGGACAGCTCCACGGTTTTTGGACAACCCAAGGCCGCATAGCTATAACAAGTATTTGCTTTTTCGATTGCATAATCTTAGCCGGGACAGCGCTGGAATGCTAAGCCGTTCGTGAGATATACTGCCATATGCTGCCATGAGGTTTTTCGTGTTCGTGAGATATGGAATGCTAAGCCGTTTCGTAAGCTGTTCGTGAGTGTACATTGATCCAATTGTTCGAGTGATCTCGTCTCTGTCATCCGATGCTTCCAGTGAGCGCTGAGCTCTGCTCCAAAGGACTGAACTCTAACTTGTGTCACCTGTTTTTAATCTATCGATAATATTGTACTTAAGGTAGCAGCCCAAACTCCAACGCGAAAATGGCAATATGCTTGGACGGTGTATAAGCCTGATTATAATCAATCGTTTCGGCTCCAGCAGTGGGATCAATTCTTTTTGCTGTTTTAATTTGTAACAAAACAAAACAATGTTCTTATATAATTCACGCGACTGCCTCTCACCTGCGAGATGGCACCGCCGAACAAGCACCAGCACTGCACAACAATTACGACCAGCGGGCCCATGGCTGGAGTGTATGCGCCTTCGCATTGACCTTCCGAACTGGCGGGACGGTGCGCTCGACATTCATCAATATCGCCTCCATGGGCGTAATCGGTGATACACATTTCGGTACACATTCGCTCAATCAGTCGGGTTGTTTTATCATCCACCTGGAACACGGAGGAAGCCGCCGGCACCGGATGTGACGTCACCGAACTGACGTCAGTGTGACGTGACGTGTCCGGACGCATGGGCGCACGTCACGTCCGGCCATCGGCCCGGGCCGAGGCGTTGATTTGTGACGACGTAGTACCAATAGATTCAGTCTGGCAAGATTGTCGTTGGCTCAGTGAATATGGAGTACTAAAGCGACTCGGCAAAGAAAATATTATGATAGTGTTAAGTGTTGAACTTATCCACACTGGCTCTGCCGTTTTGGCACATATTGCCCGTTTTTTTTTCGTACAGGCAGTAAAGGGCTGCGCATCATCTAAACTTAGGCCACCGCCCACCAGGTCAGCTGAGAGACTTCAAAGCTAGGAAAATAATATTTTCGTTTTACTTTCAAACCCAAGCAGATTGTTTGAACCTCTCATTTCAGCCATAAAAAAATATGCAACTGAACGATGTTCACCAAAAATTGATGCAAACTTTTGGAGGATACACGGTACACGTTTGGTAAAGATGTAGGTACCGATTTAGACAAACGAGACATCATTTTACGGCGCTTTGTATCAGCTGCAAGCCTCAGAGCATCAACAGATTTCCGTGATACCATCGGCCAATTTTTGTGGTTCACCACAGCCCCTGGCACGCTTGGATCGTTACTTTGGCCTATGCATTCATGGCGGAGACAAGCGATCTTCTGTGAGCGACTTTCTGTATGAAATTTTAAGCCACCACTACATATGTCGGGTTCTGATAATGGTGTCGAACCGTTAACAATTCATGTGGCACCTTCCATAGACGCGTTATCATTGAGGTATTTCCATACGCGAAATATGTCTTAAAATTATTGCAAAAGAACTGCTTTTGCAAAAGCCGCCAATTTTTACGGCTTTTTGGCCTCAGCAAACGAAGTGTCTGGTGTCCTGAAAACAATTTGAGTCACTTTTGAACGTACATTCCTACTGTCTATTCTTTGAATGAATGACTTTCAAAATACCTACGGCAGTATTCAGTGCAGTTATGTGTTGGAGGAGCACTTATATTATCATTATTTTCAGTTACTCAGTTGCAAGCAAAAGTGATTGCACGCCTGGAGGCTCATAAAGTGATACCTGTCGGAAAATGTCTAGTCATGGTTTGCGGTCACGGTTTTACTGCAATCTGACGATCCACGCTGCAGTCCTGCAAGCTTTTAGACTGATGATGCATAGCCAGCACCGCGAAATCCTGGAGGAGCTTATGGATTGCATATTACTTGTGACCCACTTTACGGTGCTGGTTGACATTTGATAACGCCTCCCTGATTTTGCGACACTCACGCCGCATTCCCAGGCTGGGACTCTTCTATGAAAGTGGACGCACTGTTGGTGATCCAACATCATTTTGTGGTAACATGTGACCACGACTTTTTCCACGGGGATGAAAATGGTTTGAAATTCCGCTATACGTTCCACTTTCACTCCTTTCTTGCATAAACTCATGCATACCCACCTACCATGCAAAAAATGCCTTTTTTCTGATTATCTAATTTCTGTATTAGAGGATGCAACTAATAAAGATTGCCTTCTATATAGCTTGACACCTTGTGTTTCCCTGGTGGGGAAGGAGATGGAGGGATCAGGGTGGGGGTGGGGGGAGAGTTCTCGCCCCACCATGACGAATGCTTGCGATTACCGAACACTTAACCCTCGCCCCGTTGGGGGGGGGCCATTTTGACCCCCCCTGTGGTTTTTTCCTGAATAGCAAAAAAACGGCGGCGCGCAGCGCCGCCAAATTTTCAGTACCTTCCCGGGCATCAATTTGACACCTTCACACCAAATTTCAAGTCTTAGGTCACCTTAGGTCAGGAGTTATTGAGGTCAAACTGAGGTCATGTTCGAGCAAAAATGAGCAAAAAACATGCAATCTTGAAACGCTCACCAAATCTACAGTTATCAAGCAATTTCAAAGTTCTTTATATGGTCTAGTAGACAAAAAGCGGCGCTACAAAACTGCTATCTCGGATTTTCAAAATTTTTGGTTTTTGACCAAAAAAAATCAAAAAATTGATTTTTTTAGAAAAACTTTGAAAAAATCCAAAAATTTTCCGAATTTCGAAAAAAACCGGAATATATGTGATAGTCCCAGCGCTCTTCTATATACATACCAAATTTCAGATCGATATCTCGTTTTTTAACCAAGTTATAGCGAAAAAACTGTTCAAAAATGATGACGTCAAATTTTTGAACTCGATTTTTAGCAATTCTAGACCACGTACGGCAAAACAAAGACCACCATTGAACTCCCCGTGACAAGCTGCATCGATTCGATACCCATTTTATGCAAAAATATTAACTTTGAAATTTGACCTAATTTGACCTGACCTTGACCTGACCTTGACCTGACCTTGACCAAAACGTGATCTAAGCTGGCCCCAAAGGCTGCCTGACCCATATAATCGCATTTGTCATGTAAAATGGACCATAAAACATGTATCACACGACACATTAATATTGTGACCCCCCCGTGACCTGACCTCTGTGACCTGACCTGGTATCAGTGACCTCAAATAGCAAAATATGTGTTTGAAGAACATTTCCCCATCGATGATTTTCAATGAAATGCATTTTACTCGATTTTACAACGCATTTCTTGAAGTGCCTGTAAACGGTGAAAATTGGACCTTTGACCTGACCTGTGACGTCATCGGTTTGACCTAGGTCAATAAAATTGGGTCACAAGGTAGTTCCCCGTTGGGGCTATCCAACGCCGTTTACCGCTTGTCGCTATGTTGCGTGGTTCTCGAGATCTTAGGGGGGGGGGGGCCAAAATGCCCCCCCCCCCCAACCGGGCGCGTTGCTCGGCAGAGCCCAACGGGGCGCGGGTTAACGTGATAGTAGCTTTCAGCACTTCTCCCAAATTCGTTTAAAATCCTTTGAGACATAAGTACATAACCATATGAAATTAAATTTATAAATCCTATGAGACCATGAAACTAAACCATATGAAACAAGTTATCCTATCCATGTAGTTCCAAGCTCCCACAAAAAGTTTTTAGCTCAGAAAGCTAGCGTAGCATGAGGTGCTTATGGCCAAGGAGCTAAGCTTTCGTTTTGAGTCTATCTTTGATAAAAAGCTAAAACGTTTTTATTCAATTCACTTTTTATCAGGCACGCTGATGTAGATTATTTTGCAATAAACATAATTTTTAGGATAGGTCATCAGCCTCTGTCAAAAGATGCCGCATTCGCAAAGCCTAGTTATGTCACTAGTTAGAGGAAAACGGGAAACTAGATATGCCACTAATGATGCCACTAGTTCATTCGCATTGTCACCTTGCAAATGCTACAATCAGGTCAGTATCGTATAGCCCCAGATCTCCGCCCGATAAAGGCGAAAAGAGCGGAACCCGACGTAGACACGAGCTGGCCGACACTGGTCCCTCCGCATCAGACCTGCTCCGGTGCGTGTCTGTATACGTGTCGGTTAATTGACCAGGGCCAGTTCACCGAGCACCCCGCCGGCTTCCATTGTCCGCGCCCCACTGCACGGCCTCCGCCGGTGACCCGACCGGTCAGAGCGAGCGAGGGCCGCCGGAGGAGATCACCGGTCGCACCGGTCCGACCACTGAGAAAGTGGTGTGTGCCGCTGCCCGGGCATCCCGTGTCCACGCGCAGCCACTACCGAGGCCCACTCGGAGGCGGGAGAGGAGCCGAGCAGCCAGTGCCCTTCGTGTCACCGAGACATCAACACGGGGCGCGACATCACCGGCCACCTCTGGGGCATCGGCACCGAACTGAGGGGACCTCAGCCCTGAAAACCTCGTCAGCACCGCTCCGCCGCGCCGCTGCTGCCGCGACCGATACTTCTCCTCCGACACCAAGAGCAACATCTCGTGAGGCAGCCATGCGCGTCCGACCTTCTCTTGTGGTGCCGCTGCTGCTGCTGGTAATTGCTGGACCACCGGTAAGTCGATCGGGATGGTGATGGGCGGGTGAAGATGGATGAGGTAAAGATGGATGAGGTGAAAGCAAGTGAGGTGAAGATGGGTGAAAATGAGGTGAGCATGGGTGGTATCAAAGATGTCACGGGGAATGTGAAAGACGTCTGATGTGGGACTAAGTGGATGAGCAATCGGCCATTGAACTAACTTAGACGGTCGCCAAGTCAAATAACTTCTTTCCATGAGATACACGCCTAAGAGTGGACTTCATCAGGAAAAATCATTGCAGAGTCCCCGATAAGAGGGGCCGAATAATGCGGGCATTTCTGCCTCCGATGCATATGATCATATGCGCAACTTAATTCAGTCGGACGGTACGCATTTGTGGTTAACTGTGGTAAGGAGTGCGTTTGAAACTGGTTTAGTGGCTTGCGCCAGGCTTATATGCGCTCCTCATTCAATGGTGGCACCTTCACGGTTTTCAGCGTTTGCTGTGAACACGTTAAAGATATAGCGCAGAAAAATATGACCGGCGAGATCAGTTTCCAACTCGATTTCAGCTCGATATTTTCACACAAATAGCATTTCGAGAAATGTCAGGTCGCTGACTAGTGATGTCTTGGATAACTCTACAGTCTGCACTGCACGGTCCAAAATTAAAAAAAAAATGTTCGAGTTGCGTAACGTCCTCAGTAAAACATTTTTTCACGTTTTTTTATACGGGTCATTGGAAGCTCTTGTGAACTTTCCATTTTTACATCATTTACATGATTACATGATCTGTTCAGTGGTGGTACCTCGAGCACATAAAATGTTGATTTGATTGTTCCCATAGCATAGTCTTAACTCTTAGTAATAATGCCTTATTTTGTATCTTGCATGACATCGTGTATGACGTCACTAAAGTCATTTGAGAACATTGACTTTCTCGACAATAACGACCGAATTAATTAATTTGGAAGCCAGAAAAGGCACATATAGGCTCAGTAATCAGCTCTGCCGAATCGATTGACATGTAACACTACCTATCTGAACCAGCTTCATGATCTGATAGGATATGACCTGACCTTGACCCAGTGTCAACACTCAATTTAACTTGTGTCAATTTAACCCTCGCCGGACCTATTGGTTTTCTACATACGCGCCGGCCGAGGGGGGGGGGGGGGCGGGTACGACCCCCCCTCGCCGTTTCGCCCCTGGTGGAGCTAGCGCGTCGCGGAAAAAACGAGCGTGTGCGCCGTTACGAGACGCAGAGATTGGTACCCGATTTTAAGGTCCTAGGTCAACCGGTGACCTCTGAGGTCAGGTCAAGTGCCCCAAGGTACGGTTCAGTTTTTGGTGAATAACTTCGCAAAAAACGGCCGCAGAGCGCCTATTTTGGCAGCATCGTGTTCGTCTCGCTCAGGCGCGTCGAATGATATACTTTTTGTCCGGGTCAGGTCAACTTGGGGTGTTGACCTCAGGTCAAGGTCAGGTCAGCACCCCCAGGTCACGAAGCTGGTCGAAAGAGGTCATGTCGCATATCATTCGATTCGGCAGGTCTTCCTAAGTCCATTGGTGGCTTTCCCGACTCGCTAGCTCAATTTGATCAAGAGTTATTGACGAAAAACTAATATGACCTTGATGACGTCATAAATGACGTCACGCAAGGTCAACATTGCAAAAGTGACGCATCTAACCTTGCAAGGAGTGCATAAAATCACGATTCTGTGTGCTTGAGATAGTTGGAGATCGTTCCCGGCGCCAGAATAGCAGTTTTCATTTTTCCCCATTGACTTATAATGGTGAGGTGACGAAAATGACATGACCTCATATGACCTTTAGGAAAAATCCGAGATATACAAGTTGTGGGACTCATAATGGATACTAGATCCTGCAAGTTTCATTTCCCTGTGACATCTCCTCTGGCAGTGAGGGCGTTGCGAAGTTGCGACATCTGAAGACCGTGCAGAGGTTCACTTATGACGTCATAGGTCAGTGACCTGACCTGACCCAAAAATGCGGTTGGTGTCAAAAGATGCGGCTTGGATCAAAGGTCAGGTATGCCAAGTTTCAGCTCTCTATCGCCAGCGTGTTCGGAGCTATCGCGAAAAAAACCCTATGGGGGGGGGGGGCGGCACCCGCCCCCCCCCTCGGCCGGCGAGGGTTAACTTTTCATTCCGAAACCAAAAGTATATCATGCAATGCTGAATAACTAAAGATATGATAAAACACAGAAATGAATGTCCTGCTTCCATTTTATTTGAATTTTGTCGTAAAACAAAAGAAATTCGAACCTTTAGTCGTTGAACTCAGTAGTCACTGGCGGCTTTTAACACTTAGGCTTGGCTATAGTTTGGACAGAACAATAAATATTGTTGGTGTAGGGGAGCGAAATATGGGGTGTTTCATGACGTACAGCTGAACTAAAAACAATTGATCGGCTGTTTTTTCAAGTAGCGGCAGCGCCACAGCAGTACTGTTTTCTAGGTCCTATAATGTGAAAGTGGCCTGTGTCGCCAACTGTCCCACTAGAAGCCGTACCCACCAACTAAAGCTGCAACATTACCGGCCCAAACTCCAATGACGGTGCCACCTTACATAACACCCTGTTATAACACGGAAGCTCAGCGAAATTCTCTGATTGTAATTCGGCTTCCGTGCATAATGAGTATGATGTCGTAAAGCGCCCAAACCATGCGGGCAGGTCTGTTCTTCGGCTTCCGGGCGAGTGCCGGAGTTGCAAGGCGTTGTTGGGAGGTATTTTTTATCTTCATTGATTAGAAAGTTTCTACATCAGGCAAAAATCTGTTTTGATCTCTATCCATCGATGGTCATGAGAATATAGCCAGCGATCGCATTGAAGGGCGCGTCTCGGTTGGCGTTGTTTGGATAAGAGGTAGCCCGGCACACCTGTATCCACTGTCGGCATCTGCTTGCCCCACTCACCCTCCCCGCTCCTCCCGCCCACAGCTGCCGGTGTCAGCAGCCGGCGAGGTCAACGCCACCACCACGCCGTCACCGACCGCGGAGGGCGCCGGTTCGAACCGCGGCGGCCGCAGCTGTTTCGGCCTGACCTGCTGGCTGAACTCGCTGTCGAATCTGCTGCGACCGAAGCCCCCGAAGCACGTGACGGTGGCCGTGCCGGCGCCGCAGCAGACTATCGTGGTCGAACTGGAGCCGGAGCCGGAGCAGGAGCACCAGATCATCATCCCGGTGGACGTGCCGCAGCAGACCTCGCACCAGGTGGTCGTCGCGCAGCCGCCCCAGCAGCAGCTGGTGGTCGCCCAGCAGCCTCAGCAGCAGCTGGTGGCCTACCATCCGCTCCAGCAGCTCGTGGCCTACCAGCCGCAGCACCAGGCGGTGGTCGCGCAGCCTCACCAGCAGCTGGTGATCGCCCAGCCGCAGCAGCAGGCTGTCGCCCCGGTGCAGGTGGCCCACCGACCTGTACATCAGGTGGCCCACCGGCCGGTTCATCAGGTGTCCGTGCAGCCGCATAAGCCCGTGACGCCGCCCTGCGTTGGATCACACTGCCAGGTGGGTACAGAGTACGACCACAGCTGCTGCAAGGCTGTCTATGCCAAAACGGCTCACAGCTGTCTCATTGCTGTCTATGCCAAACAGCGTACGGCTGCTGCACGGCTGTGTATGCCAAAACAGCTTACAGCTGCTTCAAATTTAGCTGGATATACCATAACAGCCTAAAGCTGCCTCACTATAGGTCAATGCCAAAACAGCTCACAATTGCCTTACCTACTGTTTATGTTAAAACAGTTTTCAGCTGCCTCACTGCAGCTCACTCCTTTCAAACATCGCTCCATAATCGATCAAGGCCTGTTTCTTCTCCCATTGCATTTAGGTCAGTGACGATGTTCACATTTTGCAATACTGTTGTAGACGACCGCTAGTTGTCAAGTCTGATAAATGCCAAGGCCGTGCGAATTTTTTTGCCACCCACCATAAGCCTTCGCTAAGTCGTCACCAACGGTAGGATTATTTCAAGTTTCAACATCTTGATAGCAGTCATCCATCTTTCTCAGTTTCGTTAAATTAAATGCAATATTCATAATCAATGACAGGCCAGCATACAGGAGATCCGTGTAAGACGCCCAGGGTCGGTAAGAGGCCCCATCGCTTTTTTTACCAAACCAATAATGTTATTTATTTTTTAATGTTCTTGTAAAGCAGAAGCCCTCTTGAAACAACAACTCACGAAACCTGAGGTATCAGGTGCGTCGCAGCGACTTCTGGTAAGCCTGTTTCTGTTTTTGCCCCTTTAATTGCTAGATATATGCATCTTTATCACCCTTATATATCTGAAAAAAACAATGGCTATCAAATGCAATCTTTTCTCATCGAAATTGTCACATGTTAGCTTCAGAATAGACCATGTTCTGGTGCGCTGCAAATGTCTCATAAACCATAAATATTGTGGACGTTAAAACACTGTATTTTTTTAAGAGGCCCTCCCTTCGAGGATGATAAAACGCCCCCCGATAAAAAACGCCCCCGATGCTAAAACGCCTGCACCTGCGGCAGGCGTGGCATTCTTTTTTCAAGGAGTTTGTTTTTGTTTCTTTTTTCTGTTTCTTTTCTTAGAGGTTATAGGTACAATTTTCGTTGGTCATCAGCGTTTGGTTGTGCTAGTTTTCGCATTGTTCGAGCGCTTTGGAAGTGTTATTGGTTTCGATAACACCGTATTTGCTTAGCTTTTCGAAATAAAAGGCCTTGCAGCTGTGTTCGCAAAGCGTCTTTTACAAGTCGACTTGACTTTTAAAACGCCCGAGGGGGGGGGGGCGTCTTACCATACCCATAGTGTAAGAGGCCCTTTTGCAACTTTTTCCAAAATGTTAAAGTTTACGGTTTGTGTACCCCCTAGATTCATTTTGAATGCAAATATGTATGGGAAAATGATGCATGCTCACAGCGCATGCACACGTTAGCGCTTAAATATTATCAGTTGTCTAAAAATAGTAACTGAGCTTAAGGGGGGGCCTCCTGCACCACTCTCCCCTAATACCTGGTACTGGTTGGAGAATATGATATTATAAAAGACAGGATAGCATGAACACCAGCTTCTGCCAAAGGTCCTCATCAGACATGATCATATTGAATGCCTGTTGATTCGTATTGCAAAGATGTGTTGCAATGAGCAACCAACCGCAAGTCAGTATAAATTACTTTTGGTAGCGATGAAATTCTTGTTGAAGGTTTAGTCTCTGACTGACTATGATCCACGCAATTCATTAGCTGGATGCTATTCAATACCTACATTTACTTATAGGTAATCCCTCTTGCGCACCACGCTTTTCTCCCTTGGACTCTGTTAGAGCATCTTTTTCAATTTGTTATCCGTTATAGGTTCCGTTATTTAAAGAAAAAAATGTCATATCCCTAAATAGGACCCGTGTTTTTGAGTGATTCGGTAAATTGTTAAATCGTATTTTTTTAGACCTGGGAAGACCTTTGAGAAGGCCTTTGTAAGACCTGGGATAGCCCTTACCTAATGCTCATATTTCAATGGTGAATGTATTTATTTAATATGTGATTTATATGCACCCAGCTGAAACCTACCGAGGTGAATGCTAATATTTCGAAGGCATTCTTCTGAAAGAAGCATGCGTCGAAATCCCAAGTAGATATCAGTGCCTTTGCAGCTGTCCAAATGCGATTTAGCTTGCACAGTTCCATAATCAAATAGGAAACCGTCATATAATCGTAGCTGTAAACACAGGTGAAAACAACGAATTGTAGACGACAGCATTCCTACTGTTCATCGTGCATTGCATCGCCAGTTGATTCCTGCCACCACTGCTTTTATCACCCATGTGTCTCAGATTATGTTGGTTATAAACAACTGCTTATACTTGTCGGGTATATTAAACTGACAGCCGTGCAAACTTTATTATTGCTCGGTTGAATTCACTTACGACGCAGCAGTTCATGTCATGTTTTGGAATGAGCGCCGCAGTGGCAAGGTATCCGACACGTCCAAGTTTTCGGTATACTTAAGTCAAAATCACTTTGGTTCATAAGGGTTTCAATTCATTTTTATCGCTTATAACTCAAGTAACTTTTAATTAAGAAAAAAGGTTTTTAGGTTTTTAGGTTTAGGTTTTTAGGTTTCTAGGTTTTTAGGCGGTGAACCTAAAAACCTAGATATTACCAAGAGCGTATAACGCAGCTAGCGTTCGTACTTGCAGTCCGGTCACGCCTTTGGGTCATTTCCTTTCACCCTTTCTCCGACACTTTACAAGAATCCACCACTCAATTTCTAAGTTGCCACCGCAGAAGCCAGCGAACAACATTAAGAAGTGTGCAAAACACTCACTCGTGCACTTTCCATTGCTTACAACCGTTGCAATCCTTGTTATGATTTACTGATGCTCGGCGACGGCGGCTGCCAGCTCAGATATTTCAACTCTCCAAGAAAATGAACAAGTACTCTGTACTTGCATGAGGTTCCTTAGTTTCCAGAGTCCAAAAATAGTTGCGGCTGCATTTCATGTGTGAGGGAAACGTTATTACGCACTGCAAGTTGCAACTTGCAAGTTACCTGAGGCCACTGTATGCGAAGCTATATCATTATATATTATCACTGATCGCAATTTTAGCAGCATTTAATTAAATTATTATTAAGAAAACGAATTATGAATGATTAAATTATTCAATAATTGAAGACGAAAACACAATACAGCCTTGCCGCTGTTACGTGTATGTTGAGCTTCTGTTAAAACCAGAGCACAGTTTCCCAGGTCAGCACAGGCCTATCCTACTCTCACACCAGTGGATCACCGGCAGATGAAATCTAACGGTGCACAAAGTCGAGCTTGCACGGTTCAGCTGGTTGTTGTGAAACCTGCCGTATTTGGATGCAATCGGTGTCTAGATGAATCAGTCGTCTGGCATTCCACTTGGCTGAGCCACACGTGCCGGAAGTAACCGGAATTCGGCCTTCGTGCGCCGTCTCCACCCCTGCAAATGGCCAATTGATCTAGTCTGCACTCTCGGAGAGCTTACTGTAATCCTCTCCTGCTCTTCCTGCGTCCACTCTGGCTCCGCTCACCCCGGGTCCGGGGGGCGGCGGTCGGTTCGGAGAGGAATTTGTCCGGCGGCTCGGGTCAGTGCAGCGCGGTGTCGCAGAGGCAGGTTCCGGGTGAAACTGCCGGCCCCGGCCGGCCCGTTAGGCCGGTACTTTGGCGACAGCCGGCCCAGCCTCCCCGCACTGCCAAACCAGCTCCGTATCTGCCAACAGCCGGTGTAAAGTGACTGACACAATGAAATCGCTGTTTGATCTTCAGCCAGACTCATTTTCGTAATTAACCTGTTTCTGGTGACATTCGCATTTCGTCTTAAATGCAAGCAGCTTATACAATTAAAGTGGCTGTGGACTAGACGTTGTGGCAGAAATTTTACAATGATCTGCGAGTGCTGACTGTAGAAATTTGCCCGGCTGATCCTATGGGCACGATCCCATAGTTCGTATCTGTCGAGAAAAGGGTAACGTGAGAAAATCTGCAGCCGATCATGATTTACAAACATTTCACCGACATGTTCTCTTTTTGATAAATGTCGTCACTTTGGTCACGCATTGTACAGCTGTGCGACGATTTGTAATGCCACCAAAGTGGGTTGACTGACCTGCTATGGTGCGAATATCGTGACATGCGTGCCGACTAGTTGATGAGAAAGGTGACTGAGGGAGGCCCCGAACGTTGGAAATTTGCGGCTCCTAGACGGGGTGACCCGTTGTCTGCCGGTGCCACCAGACCCAGCGATTTCACTGCATTCTACTTGAATTGCAAAAAAGGAGCCGGTTGAACGTCTTGTTCCATGCCCACAGTGTATCGAGAAGTGGTGGACTGAACCTCTATTGGAACTGTGAAATCACGTATCAAATTATGTTAACTAACAAACACTTAGAAGTGCACCGCTAAAGATATTAGGTGTAGATCGGTTTATCTCCCACGCATGCTGTGAACACAAGGAAAACAAGTACCGCAAAAAAAGCATTACGACGGCTCAGGGATCTGGCTTATGCTTCACGCTACGGCTCATGACGGAAGAGATTTTAGCTTAGCCAAGGTGTTCTGTTTTCCAAAATTCAGCATTGAGCCATCAAGCGACGGCGTTTGCACAATTCCACACACGTATGAATGGACGTGTACCCGGGCTTATTTTATTCACGACATGACAGAATCATAACTCATCTGTGGCGTATTGTAATGACGTATTGCAAATTGTAAATGCAAACGTCATAAATGCCTCCAAAACGTTCGACTGCGAAACAGCCAGGCCAATTATGGGTCTAGAGATGGCACACACTCAATGTCAAAGCCGGAAGCGTCAGTAATACATGAAACTATGCGTTCATCTATTTATCATCATTGGGTGTACCATTCGACAGATTATCATGTTATGGCTGGTGGGCTTCTCGTGACTGTTCCGTTTTCCCTCCCCGGAAGTGTGATCGGTATTACACCCAGACCAGTCCACTCTGACCCCCTCTCTGTCTCTCCGCAGGGTCAGACATACCCCGCTCCATGCTCGTACGGCAGCTGTCCCCCGGCGGGCGGCTGCAGCAGCCACCAGGACTGCGCCGGCATCGGCGTCTGCATCGGCTCCCGCTGCGTCTACTGCCACAGGGACGAGGACTGCACGGGCGGCGGATTCTGCCGCGCCGGGGCCTGCTACGCCCCGCGCCCGGTCGGCGGCCGCTGCTCCCGGGGCTCTCAGTGCCGCTCGGGACACTGCGGCCGGCGAGGAGTGTGCGTGGCCTGCCTGTACGCGTCTGACTGCCCCAGCGGGGTGGGCTGCACGCAGCACGGTCTGTGCGCGGGCCCCGTGCAGCCCTCCTGCCTGCCACACGGCTGTCCGCCGGGTCAGAGCTGCCTGGGTGGCCAGTGCGTGCCGGCGCCGCCCCCATCCTGCGCCGCCGTCCTCTGCCTCGAGGGCACCATCTGTGTGGACGGCGAGTGCGTGCCACGTCCTGACTCCTGCGCCGCAGTCCTCTGTCCCGTAGGCTCTATCTGCGTGGATGGCGAGTGCCGACCGGGGCCCGATTCCTGCGCCGCAGTCCTCTGTCCTGAGGGGTCCGTCTGCGTCGATGGAAAGTGCCTGTCGGGGCCCGCCTCATGCGCTGCCGTCCTGTGCATCGAGGGCACCATTTGCGTAAACGGCGAGTGCGTGCCAGCGCCTCCGCCCCCCGGCTCGTGCGCTACCATCCGCTGTCCGTCAGGTACCCTCTGTGTGGACGGAGAGTGTCGGCCGAACCGACCGACGCCGGCGCCACTCCCCTGCAGCACGGACTCCGACTGCGGCTCCAGTCTGTACTGCCGCCCGCACGGCGGCGGCTGCCAGCCCAAGCGGGCCTCCGGTAAGTTCTGCACGTCCAACAACCAGTGCCAGTCGGGCCGCTGCCTGGACTCGCCGGTACTGGGGCGGACCGGGCGCTCCCAGCCGGCGCCGCTGGCGCTGCCGTTCTCCTCGCGCTGTCAGTAGTGACAGCAGAGGGCGCCAGTGTTTGTAGTGACAGCAGAGGGCGCCAGTGCTGTCAGATGCTATCGGTGTAGTGACAACAGAGGGCGCCATTGCTGTCAGATGCTGTCAGTAGTGACAACAGAGGGCGCTAGTGCTGTCAGATGTTGTCGGTATAGTGACAGCAGAGAGCGCCAGTGCTGTCAGATGCTATCGGTGTAGTGACAGCAGAGGGCACCAGTGCTGTCAGATGCTGTCGGTATAGTGACAGTGGAAGGCTCCAGTGCTGTCAGATGCTGTCAGTAATGACAGCAGAGGGCGTAAGTGCTGTCAGAAATTGTCAGTAGGCTAGTGTTAGCAGGGGGCGCCACCCACTGGTAACACCGTCACTAGTGCCAGCAGAGGGCGTTGGTGTCCGGTGTTTTCTGCTGGCTGCGGTGACAGTTTTATCGGTGTGGAACTCTGGTGCTGCTGTCTGCGCGTGGCCTGTGTCTTTTGCTGAATCTGTAAGTAGGTATTGCAAGCAGGGGCAAGTTGATCGTAAGTGACAGAAAAATGAGGAAGGTTGAAGCTGAAGCCAGCCTGACAGCACAGTAGAGGGCGCTGCATTGCTAGCGTTCGTGAGAAGCGATGCCAATGGACGTGTCAGAGGGCGCTGTCAGCGCTTCCAGTGTCTGCTTTCAGCGCTGACAGTACGTTCTACTAGCTGTCAGAAGCTGTCAGCGCTGTCAGTGTCGCTGGAACCTGTTATCAGCGCTGCCAGCACTTGCTGTCAGCACTGTCTTTGCCTGCTGTTAGCGCCGATCGTCGACGTGACGGCCTTCGATATTTGGCGTCGATGTTCTGGTCTTGTGCTGTCAAATGCCGTATAAAAAATAAGGATTCCGTGCTCCGATCAAAACAATGTTATATCTGACTTAGGTAAACATAAACAATATTGAAGTGGTGGTGGTGGTGGTACAAATTTATATTTACCCTCTCGGCATCAGTAATATTGGATCTGTCCTTTTTGTTTATCGTCGCTTCTATGTAAAACGGCCGGAAATGACCCGTTTTGTACAGCTCTGCTATATTCTGTCATCTGCGACCGCATTGAGCTTGCGAGACAAGTAACTATAGATATGTACGAATGCTGAGTGTGCTTATTGCTATGAACTGTTATGCTCTGGTATGATGACGTTTTCATGATAATACCTAAGGACTGAAGTCGATATATGGCTCACAGCCTGTGGCCGTTGAGCGGAGTGCGCATATTTATTGTGGTAGTTAGATGGATTGGCTTGAATTGAACCTTGCTCAATTTGAGAAATAAATGAAATTTTTATTCTGATTGTTGTGTTCCATCATCACGTGTAATTAGACCTCAGGCAGGGGCGTCGCCGACGGGGGGGTCGGGGGGGTCGTGACCCCCCACTCTTGAAAACTGGGGGTGTCGACCCCCCCACTTTTTGCGATGCTGAGTATGCTTTTTTAGCTTTTATGTCAGTGAAGCAGGTGTCAGCAACACCAACAAATACATCAGATTCAAAATCGCTTCAAGAGCTCCCTAAAGCCAATTAGCCAATTACCTAAAGGTCAATTAGCTGTGGGCGGGAAACACCAGCACAACAATGTTTTTAAGTAGCCCCCATCCTAGTATACCTTTTTATCCCTCAAAGGATTGGACGCGCCAAAACTGCCCCGAGCGTTCGTCTGATCGTTTTAAAAAAATGGTCGCAGTCGATTCGTCGGATCAGTACCTAACTACAAAACTACAAACTAGCCTCAGCCCCATGGCTACCGTCACAACTAGCTGTACAGTGCACATGTAGGGGAAAGGGAGTCAGATGGAACCGTCTCGGGCTTTCGCAAAGAAGTCGCGCAAAAAGGAGCCGATTGCAACAAAACTTCCGGTGCGCTCGAGTTAATCACCTACTTAAAATAAATCGATATCCCTGATTCAAATAAAGATGACCTTAGTTCACTTTTTCATAACGTGCTTTTAATTGATAGTGTAGTTTTTGGAGCTGATTTTGAACTTAGCGCCCATCTGAACATTTAAGAAGTAGTTGTGTTGCTTATTCATATAACATGCTAGGAAGCAATCGGTGGTGGTCATCCACTATTAGGTACTGGTCGATCTGACCTGACCTGATCTACCCCAAATGCATGGAGTCATCATCTTCGTTCAAAACTAAGATAACATTCGTAATCAGAACCTCGAAAAACCATCACAACTTACATTCGTTAAGTTCTAGCAGGTCCCGAGTTTCTCTACTTATTGGCGATGACCTGAGTCCTGAGATGACCCGAAAACTTGTAAATGGGTACCATCGGCTTTCTCTCGTCACGGGCAGCATGCTCTTTTTTCCGCAAACCTGTAGATCGATCAGGGGTCGAAAGCATGCCTCAGCGTTAGTTTAGTATACGTTATACGTTAGCGACTGGGAAACCACCAATAGAAGGGCTACAGTGAAGCAGAAAGCATATTCGATAGCTCTTTCAACGCTCTTTCGCTAGCTTCGCGTCAGATTTCATCTCAGGTCTATGTTTTGCCCATAGAAGGCAAACAGCTAACTGGACAGATTCTGCCGAAACATTTGCTTTGCAATAACTTAAGATTCCGTGAATTTGTATGGTATTTACATATCTTGTCTTGTCACCACCGTGTTTATCTCTTTGAGACGCGTCACATGAGTTAAAATTTGACCATTCAGAATTAACGTTAAAACGACCTCAGGTCAACGTTATGTCCTGATCGAAAAAGGACCTCCTGCTGCATATGAATGGACCCGTGTTGTTGAGCTGAACAGTGAACACCTTCCAGGTGCTGTCATCGCTCTACCGCGTCTTCGTCAAAAGTTGTAGAAAAAAATGCTGATGGCCATCGATGGACATTTCCACTAATGACCTTTCGAGTCATCACTCGCCATAAGTTGCACCCTGTCCCTGGCAATGATGAGCTGATTTGTCATGGCTCCAAAGATATTTTGCGTTTCTGACGAACTTTTTCAAAGCAGGAGGCATTCGTGCTTTTTCTAATTTCTCATTATTTTCTAATGACGAGGTCACGTATTTGACCTGCCTTCAGATCATAGATGTAAATCCTCAGTTAGAATCATGAATTGCTGACACGTATAGCCCCATACATTAGGTACATATACAGTGTACCAAATTTCGAAGTTATGGGAGAAAAGCTACAAGAATGGCGAGAGGGGAAAGTTTTTATAGAGGTATACCGTATAACTGAACTTGACATGGCGACCTGACCTTAAGTGACCAGTGATAATTTTTACGCAAGTGATGTAGGTAGGTATACCTACCTAATAGGTTATACCAAATTTGGCGGCGCTGCGCGCCGATTTGTTACACACGCACACACACACACACATACGCACGCACAAAACTGGGAAGTGTGGCAAAAAAAAAAAACACCCCTACCCATCGGGTGAAGACTAGAAACCCGACCCCCCCCCCCCACTCAAAAATCCGTGGCGACGCCCCTGACCTCAGGGCTCAGAGTGTGATAGAAGTTGGCTTTAAGAGCAGTTGGGATATGTAAAGCATATCGGTGTATGTAGGTATCAGAGCCATGTAAAACGTTTGGTCTCTTGTTCGTGTTTTTATCCGCTGTAGACATAGTGTAAATGAACAGAGGAGGGACAGCAAATTAAATAGTTCCGTTAAGGATACATTCCGTTTACAAATAACACTAGTCCTACATATCAAACCCTTTCGAACATATGATTACTCACACATTATTGATCAATTACGACACTTGAGAACGAACCAGTGATGCCGCCAAATAATGAAATTTAGGTATTTAAACAAATTACATGGACTCATTCAAAAAATTGCATTTTTACTGTGACCACATGCCACGGTAAAAATGTCGCAACCCACGCCATCAATGAATTCGATTCACTCTGTCCAGTGCCCATGCGTAAACACTCGGACACTGCTTATAATAACATTTAGACTGACGAGCCTCGCCGGAGCGATAAAAACAGCAGTCCTGCCACGGATTCGCTCCATTTCGGTATGGTTTCACTTCATACACGCCCCAGTGTTATGTGTGAGCCAGCTCGCAACAGACGCAGGAACTGCTGGGTGGATGGTGGTGTCGGACTCATGTGAACACAAAACCCCGGAGTTCCTGCCTCGAGGTATGACATGACATAGGTAGGGTCTAGGTAGGGAATAGGCAAGGCTTTCTGTTTTCATATCGGCTGGCCTGTGGTTGAAATGCTCATCTTTTATGTTTTCTCCTAATTTAGTTTGATTTAGATGTTTAATTAAATGGTTAACGTTACCACCAGTGTCCGTGGAAACTTCTTGTTAGCCGATATGTCCGGATAAAACTGTGTGCGCCGGCAAACACATCTTGTCATTTCTGCGAGTCACACACTTAGAAATGGCGACCTACAATACCTTGCACACTAAACGTTTATGTAAATACTAATATTAATTATGTTTGTACTTATGTAAATACAAAAAAAAAAATACTAAATGTTTGTGACTATGTAAATACATTGCCGCACATGAAGCAATGTATTTAGATGGTAGAAGCTAATGACATCAGCTTTACCCTTCTCTAGGGCGGTTTCTGCTGCAGCACGGCCATGCAGCTGAGGCGGCCGCCGCTGCTACCGCTGATGCTACCACTGCTGCTACCATTACTGCTTGTGCTGCTGCTGGTCCCGCCGGCCATCGGCCACTACTCAGTGCTGCTGGGCGGCGACCTGGTGCTCGGCGGCCTGTTCCCCGTGCACGAGAAGGGCGACAGCACTCCATGCAGCACCAAACTGAGCGGCAGCGGCCTGCAGCAGCTCGAGGCCATGCTGTTCGCCGTGGACCAGATCAACAACGACAGTGACCTGCTGCCGAACACATCTCTCGGCGTTCACATCGTCGACACGTGCGGAACCGCCGGGCACGCGGTCAACCAGGCACTGGCGCTCATCAAGGGCCCGCTGGATGAGGACGCAGCCGCCTTCGAGTGCTCGGATGGGTCGCTGCCCCGACCCAAACATCGCCACAAGACTGTCAGTGGCGTGGTTGGCGGCTCTTCCAACATCGTATCCATGAACGTGGCCGATCTACTCAGGGTGTTTCGCATCCCGCAGATTTCACCAGCCTCTACGGCACAGTATCTGAGCGATAGAAGGAGGTTCGATTACTTCGCCAGAACGGTGCCCTCTGACTCATCTCAGGTGGATACTCTGGTAGATATGATACGGCTCTTCAACTGGACATATATCAGCACCGTCGCTTCAGAAAACGCACAGGACTTCGGGGCCAGCGAAGCATTTCAGGCTCGCGCAGCCGAGAGGAACATATGCATAGCAGTGCACGAGACAGTGCCAGCAGATGCTTCTGCTGAAAGATTTGAGGCCATCGTGCTCCATCTTCAACGAAAGCAAAGAGCGCGGGGGGTGATCCTTTTCGTCACATCCAAAGATGCTAGGTGAGCAGGTGTCTGGAATATATTCACTCTCCGCGTCATTCTTGGCACTGTAAACGGTACGAACAGAACCGGCGAAGAAAAATAGGTCACCCGAAGCCGAGTAACTCCCTTACAACCCACACCCTGTAATACAACGTCCTGTCGAAAGCACTGGCGGATCCAGACTTGCGTTTTTTGGGGGGGGGGGGCCAATTCCTGCAAGTAACCAAACCTAGGGTACCCCCAAATCCTGTTTTCTCATCGGATTTAGGCCACTTATTTTTTCGTCACAGCCCTGAAACGATATTTTTTTAAACTAAAAATAAAAAAAAATATAGAAATGGTAGCCCACCCAACCCGAGCCTAAATATTACTTTGAAAACACTTCAAATTGCTTTTGTCGACCAATTAGCCCGCTCCGGGTCGGTGCGTGGCGCAGCCTTCGCGGGCTGGGAGGTGTCGGTTGGACCCCCTGCCGTTCGGCCCCTGATTAAGCTAGAGCTCGCGGAAAAAAAACAGGCGTGTTGCCCGTGAGTGACGAGACGAAGCCGATGATACCCGATTTTAAGGTCCTTGGTCATTGGTTGACCTTCCAGGGCGGTGTTTCACGGTCGTGCTGACAGCCGCTGACAGCGCATTCCGCGAGCTAAGGTCAGCCTTCGGTAGTGTTGTGGGTATAGGCTTGTTGATGTCTCCATTGAAACCAAAAGTGCCATCAGCGCTGGCAGCGGCTGGCAGCGTGCCGTGAAACACCGCCCAGGTCAGGTCACAGACCCAAAAGACGGAAAAATCAGGACCTGTCAGAACCTCCTAAAGTAAGGCTGTAATACGTTTTTTTTTTGTGCTGATCACAAATTTCATGTTAGTTTGGATCATAGATAATGTCTTCATGCGTTTAGACCATGTCAGGGCAGGTCAGGTCAGATCAACCAGTAGGAGTACTTATGGGCGTCCGTATAGCAGGTGTCCACTACCACTGGCAGCTACGTAACATGATATGAAGGCATCAAAACTACTTCGTAAATGTTCAAATGGCTGCAAAATGCTAAATTCAAAATCAGCTAAACGAAACTATCCTAGAAACATGTTAAACTCGGAAAAGTGCACCAAGGTCATCAAAGGTCAATGACCTGACTTGACCGTAAGGTGACATTGGCATCCGCCCTAATGCGTGGGAGCAACATCATATCACATGTTTGAGCGTTTTAAACCACGAAAAGACTATGAAAGCGCGGATAATGTGAGCCGACATACGCCGAATCGCTATTCCGGCCAAACATGGCCTCCAACATGGCCAAACATATGGTGCGTTCGGAGAGGCACATTCCACGTGGAATCCGTTGAATATTCCATGCGCGCGGAATATTTCCGAAGATTAGCCGTTCAGAGAGATACGCCTCCGAACGCGGCACGGGGAATATTCCCGGGGACGGTGAATATTCCATGCTCTCCGAACGCACGGATAGTCTCGAGAAATAGGCCACAAGTCAAAGTTCACTTGGGTCAGGGTCATGAAATTTTCAGACTTTGTCACCATGAGGGTACTAAAGTTTCGTCGCGATCGGCTTCATGATACCTTACACGATAACTTCACACGTCGATCGAGAGTTAAAGCATGGATGAAGGAGAACCAGGGGATGAAGGTTCTTTCATCCATGGTTAAAGTGTGCAATAAGAACTTCTTGGGTGAAGACAAGACCAACACTTTTATCAAGCTCACAGATTTTTAATGATACGGTATTTTCTCTCTACCTACTACGCCCTTCTCACATTCATTTTTCTTAAGTGTTTTTGGGGACAAAAAATATATGTTGTTCCCCTTTCAGGCTTGGGGGCATGACCCCGTGGCCCCCCTGGATCCGCTAGGCCGAAACTAACTAGGTCGTTTTCAAACGGTCTGATATTTCAGGTCATAGTTTGCAAACGGCCGGTGTTTTCAGGTAGTTTCATATGGCCTGACTGGGCCAGGCCGTTTGTAAACGGACCGAATTTTCATACGGCCTGTAACATATATTCAGATTTCGACATCTGTCGTAGCATCAAATGCTGATGTGGCGCACTCAAAAGCCGGAATTGGTCCTTGGATGCCGTAAGGACCCTTTTAAGAAATAAGTGACCCGACTGACCCTTAGAGATTGGCCTGAGCTGTGACCGAAATAAGTCTTTTACCGTTTCGCAGGAAGGGACAAAAAGGTCCCTCATATGCTTCTTGTACAATTACGAAACAAAACAAGTTTTTTTTTCAACGAAAACTCAGTGAGTTTTCCTAAAAAATTTATTGCGCATATTCCGTGAATGAAAAGTTGCCGGGTCATGTCAGGTCAGGCTGCCACAGCAAGTTTGTTAACTTGACAGCTCAATCGATATTTATGCAATAAGACCTTCTCGGGTGACGATAAGACATGACGACACTTTATGAAGGAAGCTATAGTAAACCCGGTAGTTTCTCCATAGGCGCGGGAACCGGGGGGAGGGGGCAGTGGTGGCAGCTTGCCCCCCCCCCCCCCCAACTCTGGGGCCGTGCGGGCGGTGCCCCCACAACTTTCAGACAGAATACCGCTCCTTTTTGCAAATGTTTTCATTTTTGTTGAAAAAGCTAAGGGATGAAAAATAAGTGGCCTAAAACCGGCGACAAAACTATATTTGGGGGATCCTAGGTTGATCTCTATCATGGTGTGACCTCCCCCCCCGTCTAAAAGTAGTTCCCGCGCCCCTGGGTTTCTCTACGCTATTGAATCACGCTGCTGATTCTAGTAAGTATCTACTACACAACCTTCTCACATTAATTTTTCTTCGAGCGTTTTGGGGGGCCAAAAGATTGTTGGCCCCCTCTTTCAGGCTTTTTGGGCCCATGGCCCCGGTGGCCCCCTTGAATCCGCCAGCGGGGGCGGTGCCCCCACAACTTTCAAACGGAATACCGTCCTTTTTTGCAATTGTTTTCTTTTTTTGTTGTTGAAAAAGCCAAGGGATGAAAAATAAGTGGCCTAAAGCCGGTGAGAAAACTAGATTTGGGGGGACCCTAGGTTGATCTCTATTATGGTGTGCTCCCCCAGTCTGAAAGTAGTTCCCGCGCCCCTGACTTTCTCTGCGCTATTGAATCACGCTGCTGATTATAGTATCTACTACGCAACCTTCTCACATTAATTTTTCTTCAAGCGTTTTGGGGGGCCAAAAGATATGTTGGCCCCCTCTTTCAGGCTTTTGGGGGGCCATGGCCCCGGTGGCCCCCCTGGATCCGCCAGTGGGGGCGGTGCCCCCACAACTTTCAGACGGAATACCGTCCTTTTTTGCAACTGTTTCTTTTTTTGTTGAAAAAGCCAAGGGATGAAAAATAAGTGGCCTAAAACCGGTGAGAAAACTAGATTTGGGGGACCCTAGGTTGATCTCTATTATGGTGTGCTCCCCCAGTCTGAAAGTAGTTCCCGCGCCCCTGACTTTCTCTACGCTATTGAATCACGCTGCTGATTCTAGTAGGTATCTACTACGCAACCTTCTCACATTAATTTTTCTCCAAGCGTTTTGGGGGGGGGCCAAAAGATATGTTGGCCCCCCCCCTTTCAAGCTTTTGGGGGGGGGGCATGGCCCCGGTGGCCCCCCCCCCCTGGATCCGCCAGTGGTCGAAAGTTGTTGTCACCCATAACTGTTGTCCACGCAGAACCACTTGGTAGGTAAATACAAAAGTGTAATAGCTAGGTATTGATAGCAGCAATGTCACGCACTGTCCAATTGATTCACAGTCTGGATTCCCCTGTTTCACCACAGAGGGCTGCTGAAGGCAGCAAAGCGAATGGGTCTTCAGCAGCAGTTCCACTGGATCGCCGCGTTCGCGCACTCGGGTGACGGCTGGGGCAGTCGGAGGAGCGTGGTACGGGGCGCCGAGGAGGTGGCCGAGGGCGCCCTCGCCGTGGAGCTCGCGTCACGACCACTCCCCGCCTTCGACCGCTACATGGCCGAGCTGACGCCAGACACGAACCGGCGCAACCCGTGGTTCCGCGACTACTGGCAGGCGTTCTTCGGCTGCTCGCTGGCGCCGGACGCGGCCGAGGACACCGCCTGCGACCCGGCGCTGCGGCTGCGGCCAGAGACCGGCTTCGTCCAGGAGGCCAAGGTGCAGTTCGTCATCGACGCTGTCTATGCGTTCGCGAACGCCTTCCACGCCCTCCAGCGCGATCTGTGCGGAAATCAACTGGGAATCTGTGAGCAGATGAACAACTATGATGGAGGAGACTTCTACCAAAATTACATCCTCAACGTTTCATTTACAGGTGATTCTTTTCTAGAATCTGCAGCACATGAAACGGTATGCATGTCATTGTGTTGTATGCACGACTGTTTATTCCTACTTCATTGCACAATGCACATTGCACATGCATAAAGATCTTCATATACCTACGATCTTCAAATGGCAGCATATCCAATTATCATAATTTATCCTAGGTAACACAAATGTCTACTAATCACCCTACTTGCTTAGCTGTTTTGCGACTAGCGATATTTTTTTCGTACAAAACATAACCTTATTTGCTTGATTTTAATTCAGGTCTAGCTGGAAACCAAGTCAAGTTTGATGAAAACGGGGACGGAGTGGCTCGGCACACCATATTTAACTACCGTTGGAACTCTGACACCAGACAGTACGAGTACAAGGTAGGCCACTGGAGAGACGAATCAGTAAAAGGCCGCTCGCTACAACCATTCACCGCTTACGTTATTGACTGGAGTTGGACGCCATACATGATACAAAACATTACCGCGGTGCACAGGTGCACACCGGCAACTGTGCGGAGACTGGTAACAGATCGTTTAAGCTTCTCATGCTCGATACTCAAAGTGAAAACATGATTTTCTCGCACTGAACTCTATAATGTTTTCTCGCAACAGCCAGGCCGATTGTAATGTACCCTGGCGAGCTTGGACTGCGCACAGGTGACTGCTATTGCGTGCTGGTGTCGTTTGGGGGCTGGAGCTGCTCGTTTCCGTTCCAGGCGGTCGGTCGGTGGCAGGAGGGACGGCTGACACTGAGGACAGACAGCATCCGGTGGAACCGCGGCTTCTACGGACGACCGCCGTTCGCCGTTCACTCTCCGCGACCCCCCGCTGACACCGCCGTCCCCGACGGTCCACCTGAGCCCAGCAGACAGGTGCCCCTCTCAGTCTGCTCCCTCCCCTGCGGGCCCGGCGAGGTCAAGAGCACGCAGGTGGTGAGTGGTTTGGTTTTGTATTGATTGTATGTGTTTACGTTTCGGCCCATCACAAATGGAAATCAGTGGAAATGAAGCGTGGCGTGAAATGACCTATATGGCTATATGGCTGCGTGCATTGAGCTTCAGATTCGTTAGAAATAGCCACTAACTTGTTTGGCTTGACTTTTGTGTCGCAGGATTTTCAATTGTCGGTGGCCACCAAAAACGTTTGTGTTCAATGTTCTGCTGTCATCACGACTACATGAACGGAATGCATGACATGGAGGTCACATTTGACGCCGCGGGACGTCAGGTGACCAAATGGTAACCATTCTCCTGTCGCTCTGCAGGGTGACGTGTGCTGCTGGATCTGCTTCAAGCCCTAAGTGGACACCCTAGCCCTTGGGTCGAACCACTGAACCACTGCTTGGCCTGTGCAGATGCTTCCGAATAGCTGGATGGACGGCAGCCGCCGCGCGAGGCGGAGCAGGGCAAGACGATGGATTTTAGACGCACCGACTTTGGTGTTTTACAGATCGCTTGTCATACCCTAAGTGAATAAATGCGATTATATATGTTCCAATTGCCTCCACTATGATAAATTGCTTGTTGCTGTCCAATATCGAGCAAGTGAAAGTCACGGAAATTTTTTTCTTCCGATGACCTTTGCAGTTACCTGCAGTATTGACCTGAGCAAAAAAAAAAAGACCTAAATATTCCAAAAAAATAATCATTGAGAGCCATCGATTGTTTTCTGTGCAACGTCTTTCCAGCTCCATTACATATTGTTGAGAAAATCTCTAGTGGCGAAATGCCCCCCCCCCCCCCCTCCCTCCATCTTCCAGCCGTGGAAATTCCACTGAGATTCCATTCAGGCACGAGCTAATAACAATGATGCTTTACCTTTTATCAGCCCTGGCACATTCCAACAACACAGGTTTCAGCCTGGAAATGCGGAACGGGCCGTGGATCCAGATGACGCCAGTAAACCGTAGCTCCCTATAGATGGCGCCGGAGTGGCGGTACGGCGATGGACCAGTCGTCCACCGCACTTACCTGGTCCGTGGTCGGCAGAAGGCCAGCGGCCTGCCGTATTCTATGACCGTGGGCCTGCCGGACATCCATTCCACGCCCGACCCTGGCCTACATATCAGCATTAACCTTCGTCCGAATACGGCTTTTTGCAGCATCTTGCGATAAAGTGGGAGGGATGGAAGTTAGAACCCTCCAGCCGTGAGCATCTTACGCGCACCTGTCACACACGGACTGAGACAAACTGTGTTTCGTGTTTTACCAACAACTTAGACAGCCAAACAAAGTGATTCGGACATAAGTATTTGCCTTTGGTAAAGATGACGGTACTACATATTACCCGAGATGATCTGCGGTTGTGATTTTCGGACTACGTCTGCGGATAACTATCCGACGAACATGTGCGTAGTATCTAAACGAAAGCTGATAAGGTAAACTTTCGATAGCTGTTTGTAAGATATTTCCGTATAATACAAACATACCTCCTTTATTTCAATATTTTTGGCAATCCCTTTTTGTAGCTTTAATTTCTACGTTAACTTCCACGCTACAATTGTAATGTCTTATGCACGAATAACCTATTCACCTATGCACGGATAATAATAATACGTTATGTAACCATGATAACAGACGAGCAGCATCCTTGTAACTATGTGACAACAGGATAAAACCAGATTGAACCACCGGCTGCCTGGGAGGCGAATGGCCTCGGCGACAACGCCAAGGTCTCCCGTTATACCGGTCAGCAGCCGCCGAGACCAGCTGCTAAAATCAAATAGAAATAGGCAGGATTCAATATTTTTTTTTAAGAACCGATAGCGTGAAAACTTGCGTTAATCGAAAAAAAAACTCCAGCCCATTTCCAAAGTGTTTGTGTCCGCGTTGGTTGACCTATGCGCTCACCCTGGATGCGTAGTTGGTAAGGCGCCATTTCGAGCTCGGGAGGATCCGGGTTCGATTCCCGGACCCATCCGATCCCAAACTAACTGCCACTAACTGCGCCATTGTGAGTAAGTTGATTCACGCAGGTGCTATAGAGGATGAGAAGAGAAAAGAGGATTGAAATAAGGGCGAGGATGAGCTCTGAACAGAATGCGCCCATCTGCAAATAAGGTAGCGATGGGTTGTTGTACACTGAAAAAAACTTACACCTAGAGAGTTATTTTTGGAGTTTTTCCACTCCAGTTTGGCGAATAATCACGCACCAATGGCATATAATGATTGTGTTTTGTAGCGTATTCTTACTCTCTGCATTGCATTAAGGGCGTTTTTGAAAGTTATTCTTAAACCTGGTACTATAATAATCTCTTTTGTGTTTTAGCAAGTGGTAATTTTATCTTCTAATTTTATCACGTGTCCTTTTTATTCTTTCGGGTTATAAACTTATATCAGTCTCAAAGAGGCATGGGGTAATTTTAGCTTAGTTCACAGTGATAAACAAGGTCCTTGGAATATATTTGTGCTGAACTCCCATTAGATGGTAATAAAATTGACAGCTAGAGTACTTTTATCAAAACTGCATAAAAATAAACCGCTGTGGAGTAATTAGGGTAATTTTTATACTCCATTACGGCTGATAAATTGACGCGACAGAATAAAACTATTCTCATGTAGGTGTAAAAATTACTTCCTTCGTGATAAAACTATCATGTCCGGACAATAATTTTATAACCATGGAGTAATATTATGTGGTAGCATTACTAACATTATTCTTCGGGAGTATTCGGGAGCGTATTTCAAGCAATACTGTATCACTTTCTTGATAATCCTATTCCGTCGTGACATAACTAATCTAAAAGTGATTAACCCATTTATGCCCAGGAATATTGACCATCATGAAAATCGATGAAATCAAGATATGTTACGCTTCTACCAGGGCCTTGCATGGAATCGAAAATAATTTTTGCCGGCAGCAAAAGTTTTTCGAGAAAAACGTAAAAAACGTGCGTTGCGAAATCGCAACGAAGGGCACACCGGGCGCCATCAGCGTTGCGAAAACGCAACGACGGGCACATCAGACGGACATAAAGTACACTAAACCGCCGTATATGCTAGTTTGTTTTAACACATCTTTCACCAACTGTTGAAAAATATTGCTTGAGAATGCGGAACCGACATCCCTCATGCTTTATTACCCGTCTAAGAGCCTCAATAAGGGAGCATAAGTTAAGGGTTCGCGAACGGGTAGATGGCAACAAACAGTCATTATCAACAACAATTGTCCATTTAAAGTACCTAGTGGTAGGCACGTACCCTGGGCGGTGCTTTCTTTTTGGAAGTTAGACAGAGCCATTAGCCCATTACCCTCTCATATGAGAACCCCAAACTGAAAACAATTTAACCGAGGATTGGGAGTAAACCAGTGCCTCGCCTAAGCGCCTATCCGCAATACCACTGTTAACCACCCTCCTAGGAGTAAAGACAAATTCAAATGCAGGGTAGTCGTGCCCACTCTTAGCAAAAAATGAACCTATCCGGCTTTCACAAATTACCCGCGTAAGGCGTAGCGCGTCATAACAACTCGGCTTGAAGTGTCTCCCAGGACCCATTTATCACTTTTACACCTAATCCAAAATTTTCATTGTCCCACTCTCAGCGACCTTCACACTTGTAACCTCTTTCTCGAGACAATGCCAGGGCAGACTGGTGATTCGACGCAGTTCACAGTTTCCAAGTGTTCCGTCAATCCGTCCTTTCCATCTTCAGGATAGTAGAATCCTTCTCCTTCATGCCTCAACCCCTGTTTCGAGCTGGACGGGCAACTAACTATATCGCATTCAAGCAGCTCACATAGGAGCACAGGTCTGTAGCCGGATACAGAAAGTGCTTGGGAAGGGGGGGGAGGGGGCTGGTTCATGGGTGCCTGGATGGATGGGCTCAGCCTCGACGATTCACCATGCCCGCTCAGACCAATGTTTTCCGTAATTCCAATAATGCTTCAAGCTCTAAAATGGTCTAATTAGACAAAAGGCCTACCCTCAGTAAACAAACAAGCAATGCTTCACATCAACCACCTTATCAATCCGTGCAAACCATGAATTCTAAAAATAAACTATTATTTTCCAGACGCCCTCATCACCCCTGCCGAAGGGGTCTGTTGCCATCCCCCCGAGGGGGCATATCCCACATTTGCCGACTCTGGGAGTGATCTTTTCTTACGTAAGGGCCAGCGGATTGTATCCAAAGAATGACAATGCCTATCTGTCGTCTGATACCAGACTACGTCCCCATTATTTAGTACAAAGTAGATCCAATTTTCAAAGTACCTCGCTATCTCTCAGCTCCGTTAGCATCGCCGACCGTTTGATGCAGGTCCTTTTCCTACCATGCGATTTTCAGATGCTCGAAAACCCATTGCTTAGTGAACAGCCCGATAATCTGCGAGAGAAAAAGAAATGAGTGTTTGATAGCTGTTTAAGTGAGTTAATGTGAAACGCGTCGCAACATTCACGTGCAAATGCACCTTGCACTTTACATATGTACCTACACATCCCTCACGACTACAAACGAGAGGAAGAGAGAGAGAGAGAGAGAGAGAGAGAGAGAGAGAGAGAGAGAGAGAGAGAGAGAGAGAGAGAGAGAGAGAGAGAGAGAGAGAGAGAGAGAGAGAGAGAGAGAGAGGGAGGGGGGAGGGAAGGAGAGAGAGTTGGGGGAGCGTGGAAGAGAGGGAGGAAAATTGGGGAGAGAAGGAAAGAACCCACAACGTATCACAAGTGAAGTCTATTTGATGTTCCTATGCTTCCGCTGCCCTGCCAATTTGCCCCTCGTTGCGTTTTCGCAACAGCCCTGTCTTTCCGATGTGCCCAACGTTGCGTTACCGCAACACGACTGTAGTCATATTTGAAAATAGTCACAAACCCTATTTGCAGCAGAATTTGTTAATAAAATGCATATTCTAGCTATTGTAGGGACTCTGCAGAATATGTTCACACATTATTCATTACGATATAATTAATCACTTAATCTATTTATTTTGGTTTTCGTGACGTCATCACTGACGGGACCTACGACTTCCCTCGGGGAGCTCTGGACGGTAAGTTACCAGCCGCACAGACTTGTAACTGCGTAGCATCATGCGCGCAACCATGCTAAACGCGCTGAAACTTGTCTCATCGGTGAGAAGCCATTATACACTTCTCAAGATTTGATCACGTCGACGCTTGCTTGTGTTGCGAAAACGCAACGAAGGGCGTAAATGGGTTAATCTATTCGTCCAGCACAGTATTATTCCAAGAATAATATTTTCGGAACGTCTCTTCAGTTCGTGACCATTCGCGACCGCCATTGTGCTCAAGTCGTCAGAACCAAGGCCTTCTGTCAGAGAACCGAGCAAGCGTCCCAGTCCTCGAAGGTAAGCTGAAATTACTGTATACTTTGTGTTTTGTTAGTATGACTTAACAGTAATCCGTAGTATGACCATACAATCCAAGAAATGCGTTGACGTAGATTTGCGGACGAAGATTTCCGCGATGATGAAATTCTGGAAGACAAATTGTCAAAACAAATTGACAAATTGTTGTTACAAACAAACAAAACAAATTGTTAAAACGGTCATATCTGGACATCTACTTTTTGTTGTTTCTATCCTCCCAATATCACGATAGAAGAAAACGCGTTTAACCCGCGCCCTGCTGGGGGGGGGGGGTGTTTGAACACCCCCCCCCCCTTGTGGTTTTTCGCGAATATCTCAAAAACGGCGGCGCGGAGCGCCGCCGTTTTTAGTACACCTTATCATACATCAATTCTACATATGTTGTGAAAATTTCAGACCTAGGTCATTCAAGGTCAGGTCACCAGGTCACTTGAAGTGACCTCACCTCATAAAAAGTTCCAATGTCTGTCATAGCTACACCGAGTGACCGATCGCTTTGAAACTTTCAGCGATTGCTAAGAGCAATAGCATGTACAAAATGTATATCTCAGAATTTTGATATCGATGACCTAAGGTCAGGTCAATTTTGCGACCTCCCCATTATAAGTCAATGGGAGAAAATTGAAATGCGCCTCTTTTTGACGAAAGACATTATAAACACTCCCAAACACCGAATTACAAGTGGTTTAGACACACTGAACATGAAAATGGTGTCCGTGACCCTTGTTTATGCCCTGAGGTCATCTTAGGTCACGAATGGTATCTAACAGTTTTTCGCAAATAACTTTTGATAGAGGCATGCTAGAGCGATGAAAACGCCTTAGATGTGTTCAGCTAGACGATACGGATCGACTGATATGCAACATGACCCTTTCCGGTCAGGTCATGACCTTGACCTGAGGTCAAATTTTCAACTTGACCTTTCAAGGTCAAGTTATAGTTCATTCGATGCGTCTTGACGAGAGGAACACGATGCTGGTAAAAGTAAGCTCGTACAAGGCTTGGGTCAAAAGTTATTGCAGAAAAACTGTTTCCGAAAAAAATCGACCATTTTTGCAGTTTTTGCCCCCTGCAGGCAAAACCGTTGACGATAGGTCAAATCTGAGAGAATTACTCAGAAAGGGCGTTAATAGGGCTACCGAATGCGCTTTTCCCCGGCGCTGTAGCTCTATTGGTTCCCGAGTTATGCGTTGGCTTCTTGGAAATTTTCGACATTCGACCTGGAAATCGGCGAAATTTTGCCTTCAATGGCCTCTGGTGACCTGACCTTTGACCTGACCAAAAAATTGACCGAAGTGATTTCGTCATTATTTTTGACGCTCTTTCGAACGCCGCCTTCCGCGTATCGCTACGTGGCTCAGGAGCCGAGTTACAAGGGGGGGTGTTCAAACACCCCCCCAGCAGGGCGTGGAAATCCAGGACCCCCAGCCGGGCGCGGGTTAATGAACGTATTTATATCTTGTTCAGTGTTCGCTGCCTGATAAAGCTGTCCATGAAATTAAAAAAAAACGGTTCTCTTCTTTCTCAAAGGTGACTCTGCGGAAGAACAGCTTCCGACAGAAACTTCGGAACAGATTCAAGAACTGTCGAAAGCCACTGAGCATTGAGCAACGCCGTCATCGACACGGAAAGACGAGCCAGGGGCATCGATGTGAAAAAGCGTGCGGCAGCTGAAGAGGGGATGCCGGGGATGTTTCCCAAAACGAAGAAGTCGAAGCTAGACATCTGCACCGAAACCGCCAAGTTCAGTGGCAAGCTAAAGCACGCCGATGTCACTCACAAGACATCTGTTCTCAAAGATTCCTTCGAGGTTCGGCGGATATGCCTCACGAGCACACTGAAAGAAAAACTACACCTGAAATTGGAATATTATTACGGTACACAAATCTCCACCCCTTTTAACTTCATTTTATGCCAGAGTAAAAGATGTTTGCATGGACAATTGGAGATTAATTCTGCCACCCGGTAGTAAGTAATATATCCTCGTAAGCTTAGAACTACACCCGTTGCGGAATAAAAGTACGGTACACAAATCTCCACCCCAAATCAATTCATTTTACACCCCTAGGTAAAGGGTGTAAAGGGGCGTTAGGAAGAATTAAGCATGTAATTTACGATAATAATTTTACGCCACAGTGCAATTTAAGCCAAAACAATTTCTACGCCTTGCGACATGGTGTAGAAATACCAGCGGGCTGCGAAGCTGAATGTGTAAAATTTAAGTCAAGATGTAAAAATAGCTCACGTTATAATCCGCATACAAAACAAAAGTAAACGATAATAGTTGTATGTTCTTTTCCAGAGGGAGTAAAAATACGACTGGGTAAATATACATCGCCAGCCATAACTATCCCCCAGCGTGATTGTATCTACTGTCGTCTTCTGAGCACTTTCGATAAAGTCAACTATGGTGCATCTCTCCAACGTGTTGTTTATTTAAAATAACTTGAAACGACAGATCACAGGTTGCTACAGATTGGTTCCTCCCAACACTGACTTCCCTGAGGATATCACAAGCTGCACAAATCACATTTTATTCACAGCACAGTTCATCAGGTCACTAAGTCACGTTTCATCATGTACTTTAAAAACAACTGAGCATTTCTTCGTGTAACGAGTATCGACACCAAACGTACGGTCTCTGAAATCAAAGCACAGGTCCGGTGTACGAACTAGGAAAGCACTGACAACAAAAACTCCGTTAAAAAAAAAACTGACTGAGGCCTTCTCAACTCACATCATCTTCAGTGCCTATAGGTACTGAAGATGTTTCACGGCACGACACTACAGTGCGTTACGTGTATCGCGGTGCTGAGTTCCTATTGGAAACATCCACATACTCGAACGCTCTCAATGTTGGGGCGTCCAAGTTTGTAGATGTTTCTATGGAAACTCAATACCGCGATACTAGTAGCGCACAGTAGTGCCGTGCCGTGAAACAGGGCCCTGCTCGGTCACCCGACCACTGCCACTGGTGCCTCTGAATCGGCAACAGTGGATTATACGAAGGATGGCATTCTCGGCCGCACTGAGAGGAATCGCGAACTTCATAACCCGTGCATATATGACCTCAAAAAGGATCATGCTGGGCCCTCTAAAAGGCAAATATAGCACAGCGTGCGCCGCAGCGAAGGCAGCCAGCATCTTCATCTCACTGTTTGGGAGACGATATTTCACATAGCTGACCACTCCAGGCACTGGGTTTCTGGGTGACTAACGGACACAGAGTTGCGCCCATCCTGCAGCTCCGAAATCGTCGTGCCGCCACCGATCACCAAGGTGGCCGCCAGGTCGTCATCTACCAAGATTGAAAGATAAAAAGAACTATTAACCACTGCAATCTTTAAGTTAAGAACGACTTTGTATGTCAGGCCGTCCATCCGTCCGTCCATCCGCCCATCCATGTAAATTGAAGGCTGTAAAGAGATATTAAGCACTGTAATCTTTAAGAAAATAGCAATTTTGAATGTCGATCCTTAAAAATTGACAGATGAATCTATTAACCCGCGCACCGAAGGGGTTCTGAGCCAACTTAGAAGCGACGAGAGGGTGGATGACCGCCCCCCAAAGATCTCAAGAACTAAGTAACTTCGCGAGAAGTGGCAAACGACATTCGAAAGCTCGTAAGAAGGTCTATGAAAAAGTATTTCGGTCATTTTTCGCTAGGGTTCAAAATGACGTCATTAGAGGTTATCGAAGGTCAAATTATGCGAGTAACCGTAAAAAGACCGACATCATTCAACAAACGACTCCGTAGCTCATGAACAGAAGAGATAAAAAGTCGTATAAAAAAGGAATCTGATGGAAATAAGAATGACTTGAAATTTATTCCATTGACTTATAATGGGCAGGTAAAAAATGACCTATTCGTAGGTCATCGATATGCAATTCTGAGATATACGAGTTGTAGGTGCTCATCACCAAAATTATTTCTGTGAGTTTCAAGATCTGCTTTCAACAACGAGATAGCAAACTTCGAAGATTGTGTTTCGAGGTGAGGTCACTTAACGTGGCCTGGTGGCTTGACTTTTTTAAGATATGAGCTAAAAATTTCCAGAGTGTGTGCGAAATGGATGTATCAACAGTCGTGCCAAATCTGGCGGCGCTATGCGCCGCCTTTTTATGCTATCTGACAAAACCTGAGGGGGGGGGCTCCCCCGTCGGTGCGCGGGTTAAGCACTGTAATCATAAGGCAAAGAACGATATTGTATGTCTGTCCGTGAAAACTGAAAGATATAACTAGTAAGCACTGTAACATTTAATTACAGAACGATATTGTATGTCATGGACGGACGGACCGACAGACGAGACAGACGAAACAGACAAATGTAAAATATTGGGGGGGGGGGACACGTCCCTCGTCCCTCCCCCTCCCCCGGTGGCGGAGCCCATGGATGAGACAGGCGAGACGGACGGACGGACGGACGGACGGACGGACGGACAGACGGACGGACGGACAGACGGACAGACGGACAGACGGACAGACGGACAGACAGACAGACGGACAATTGTCGTCAGTCATCATTAATGGTAGTTTAAAACTCACCTTCAACGGGTGTGGCGCCCTCCGGAGGCAGGAGTTGTGCGGTGTAGCACGCCTGTCGCGTCATTGAGGTGACTTTGTCCTAATGCCATTCTCGCCGGCGTGACCCACGACGAGAGCCAGGTCACCCCAAACCTGAAAGTAGTACACAAAATAAATTAGCAACTTTTTCAGGCCAAGATTCTAGTACTTTTGTAAAACGTAGAGAAATAGAATTACTAAACATACCTAAACATATATTGATCAATCGACACATTGAACATTTGATGAAGTTACAGTTAACAACCTCAGTAGGTACTATAGGTACTTAAACTGATTTCTCAATTTGCCCTTGAGAACAAACTGAGAGGGTCAATTCGAGCTTCTGGAATCACTAATCAGAATGCCACGTATTGACACAAACAGCTAAGTGAGTGACGTGCATACAGACAGCAGCAAATCAATTTCATCAACTGCTACATCGAAACATTATCAAGTCAACTTACCCTCAAAGTTATTCGGAAATGGGTCCAGCACTAGTCAGTCATCACCACACCGAACGCACCAGCACACTCGCACCTATCTCACTGTTTCAACCGCCAGAAGATCACTTGCAAGCGCCAGAAGTCTCCGTGGCTCCGGTCCGGAGCAGATACAAAAATGAAAATGGCGGAAACGGAAGGCTCGCGAGCCGCACGTGGACGCTATCGTAAAATAATGAGCATGTGGGTGCAGAACTATTATGTTTAGGGTATTTTAAATCCTTGTCATAAAATAACACCATCCTCATCGAAACACACTTTACCAAGGATGCATATTTACACCATGATGAGGGTTGAATTATCAGCTGACAAATCAGAGTGCAAATTTATGCTATCAGATGGGTATTCTTATCCCACTTGAAGAAAATACACTATAGTAGTAATTTTACCATCCATCAATTAGAGGGGTAAATATCTCAAAAGTTAGAATTGCACCATGAGTGTTAAACTGGATTGAATTAAACCCCAAGAATACGCTCGTGATAGAGTACATTCGCACCGAAGCATTATTTTATTCTCCATATATGTCGAACAAGGGTATAAATATTCTTGATTTCGGTGTAATGGCGGTGTATAATAATCAAATTCAAATTACCAAGGTGTACTTTTCTTTCAGTGCAACCGAAACCGGAAGACTGGCGAGGAGATGAAGGAGATATTCCCGGATATGTACAGCGAAGCTGCCGTAAGTGTTGCTTTATTCGGTATTTAAAAGTCTTGTCTAATGTAATGTGTGATTGAACTCGAGATTCCTTTACTAACAGGGTAGTTCAGTAGGAAAATTTGACCGCCACGGTGACGTCACAGTGGCTATGCGTAAGCGTGGTGTAATTAAAATATCACATTTGACATCTGTGCCTTTTAAGGGTGGATTATCGAGAAACGGGGCTTCAAACATTCATGTAAACGTGTTTTTTTATAAACTTCCCAATTATAAGCTCGCCAGTTGACCCAGATGATCACCATCTTCCTATGTATTATGAATGCGTGGGAACTTTTTCCCGCCAGCGCGGCAGCGTGATGTAACGGTAAAGGAATTTTGAAACTCGTTAACGGGGGATGGTTTAACTGAACTAACTATATAATTAGTGGCACCATTTTATATCCGCGCTATCAGGGAACAACATTGGATAGGAAAACATCTGGAAAATTAGCATAATTTTTAACCCTCGCCGGCCGAGGGGGGGGGGGGCGGGTGCCGCCCCCCCCCATAGGGTTTTTTTCGCGATAGCTCCGAACACGCCGGCGATAGAGAGCTGAAACTTGGCATACCTGACCGTTGATCCAAGCCGCATCTTTTGACACCAACCGCATTTTTGGGTCAGGTCAGGTCACTGACCTATGACGTCATAAGTGAACCTCTGCACGGTCTTCAGATGTCGCAACTTCGCAACGCCCTCACTGCCAGAGGAGATGTCACAGGGAAATGAAACTTGCAGGATCTAGTATCCATCATGAGTCTCACAACTTGTATATCTCGGATTTTTCCTAAAGGTCATATGAGGTCAGGTCATTTTCGTGACCTCACCATTATAAGTCAATGGGGAAAAATTCAAACTGCTATTCTGGCGCCGGGAACGATCTCCAACTATCTCAAGCACACAGAATCGTGATTTTATGCACTCCTTGCAAGGTTAGATGCGTCACTTTTGCAATGTTGACCTTGCGTGACGTCATTTATGACGTCATCAAGGTCATATTAGTTTTTCGTCAATAACTCTTGATCAAATTGAGCTAGCGAGCCGGGAAAGCCACCAATGGACTCAGGAAGACCTGCCGAATCGAATGATATGCGACATGACCCCTTTCGACCAACTTCGTGACCTGGGGGTGCTGACCTGACCTTGACCTGAGGTCAACACCCCAAGTTGACCTGACCCGGACAAAAAGTATATCATTCGACGCGCCTGAGCGAGACGAACACGATGCTGCCAAAATCGGCGCTCTGCGGCCGTTTTTTGCGAAGTTATTCACCAAAAACTGAACCGTACCTTGGGGCACTTGACCTGACCTCAGAGGTCACCGGTTGACCTAGGACCTTAAAATCGGGTACCAATCTCTGCGTCTCGTAACGGCGCACACGCTCGTTTTTTCCGCGACGCGCTAGCTCCACCAGGGGCGAAACGGCGAGGGGGGGGTCGTACCCGCCCCCCCCCCCCTCGGCCGGCGCGTATGTAGAAAACCAATAGGTCCGGCGAGGGTTAACCCACTCCCTCTGGTTTTTCTACCGCCTGCTGGGAAGTCACCCCCCCCCCCTCCCATCTAACTTGGCGGGTCCTAAGCAACGTAACCGTAACGAAACGCTCAAGGCGGAGTTGGGAATCTTGTCACAAACCATGACGAAAGCATTCCAGTCATTTTTATCAGGTAAAAGATCACCAGAGGTTGACACTTGACGTGGCGCGCTTTCAAACTTTTTGTGAGCTGGAGTAACTTACCTGACCTGACCTTCCACAATGATATAATGTTCACTTGATGTTGCTTGATGTTAATTCCATACATTAATGTGATTTTGCGATGTTTCCAGGTGTGGACTGACTTGGGAATGATCATGGGGCTCGAGGAGGACGTGAAGGAGCATGTCCTGCACAAAATCGGACATACCGCGAAGAAGTATGCCCAGACGATGATAAACGTGGAGCCGGCCGACAAAGACGGTGAGTTTTGAACGGGCACAAGGCACAAGCACACCTTTTCGGATGAGGTGTTTCGCTAGCAACAATCGTGCCGGGGGGGGGGGGGGATACTCTTCTTCTATATAACTGGGCTCGAGCCGATCATCGTAGACAATATATTCCTGGCCAGGGCTGGAATAATGTTTAGATCTGACTGATTTTTTTTTTTTTTAGCGAATGTAAAGTTAGGCCCGAGGTATTTTCGATAAATACGAGGTCAGGCCAAAACATTAGCCAAGACCAAGTGTAGGAAGGTATTTCCCACGCATGCTTCTTCCTGCACGATGGAGAAATGACGTTTCACATATCCCAATGGCGTAATACATTAATAGCAGAGGGCAGGACAACTGTTTATTTTCTTGATGATTTTTTTTTTTTGGCTTAACCCGGCACCGCCTGGGCTATTTCCGTACCCACATCAGCCTGGGGGGGTCGGATCCGACCCCCCCCCCCTGTTATCTCGAGAACCAATGGTCGTATCGAGCCCCGCGAGGCGGCGTTCGAAAGGTCTCTACGAGACCTTCCCAAAGCACTCTTAAGATTTTAAGATTGAGGTCAACTTTCGGGTCAAGGTCAGGTCAAAGGTCAAATTCAGGGGTTTTGCATGATTAGGCTTACGGACAGCGGAATCGATAGCTGCTCCTCGAAACTCACCACAAATGACCTCAAAGACCTAGTGAAGGTACCATGTGCGTATAGGGGTCATACTAAGTACGGGTCAAGGTCAGGTCAGGTCACGAAAGGTCACGGTTTTCACTTTCTGCTACATGGGCGTGCGACACATGTTTTATGGCTTATTTTTCACGCCAAATCCGATGGTAATGGTTATATGTGACCCCAAGTCACTGTGCTGGTGATAAGTGTGCATTGAAAGCATAAAAAATCGTTTATACCATACATAACTAAACGAGGGCTAAGAAAAAAAGTCAATTTTTCAACTTTTTATTTTTGACATAAAAATGCACTTTTCTAGACCAGCATTGTCCCAGGAATCTAGTGGTGCCATTTGTTTTCACATGCGATGTTCAGAAGTGCCTCTAATTCGCGAAAATGCTTATGACGTCACCATGCCCTATGCATGTTGGAGCTATTTTTTACAATTTGGGGGTCAAAAATCAAGATAGAAAGTTGAAATTTGGGACACCTAATGTTCTAATAGAGCTCTATAACATATATTCCGGTTTTTTGGAAATTCTCAAAATTTTGGATTTTATTAGCTGTTTTCCAAAAAATATAGTTTTTTGAATTTTTAGGGGTGAAAAACGCATTTTATGGAAAATCCGAGATAGCCATTTTAAAGAACTCGTTGAGCTGCGTCTTTTCATGTCCTTAATTTGCAATTTGCTTAAAACCTCGATTTTTGGCGATTTTTTAAACATTTACCATTTTTTGACTGAAAACGCCATGTAGTTACATCACTAAAATCGATATATCTCAGAATTTTTTGAAAATTTTTTCTTAAAAATTGCACAGGAGACGTCAAATTGATGGAAGAGAAGGTATGCGAAGTTTCAAGTTGATGGCGCAAGCGGTTCATGAGTTATTCAAGAAAAACGGAGGGGGGGGGGTCGGATCCGACCCCCCCAGGCGGTCGCGGGTTAAAGGAAGACTGTCACGTTTTTTACACACAACGGTTTTCACTAGACCTAACCCACCTATGACCTACCCTGAAGTCTGTTTCCCGAAATTCGGCCTAGTTTTCAAGATATCCGCAATTGGACTTCAGATTAAAGCCATCACAAATGTGTGGAATATGGGAATGTAACATTACCATGTTAAAATCCCATCTCCCACACTTTTTGTGATGGCATCAATGTGAAGTTCGAATGCGGATATCTCGAAAACTAGGACGAATTTCGGGAAACGGACTTCAGGGTAGGTCATAGGTGGGTCAGGTCTACTGAAAACCATTTTAAACCGAAAACCGTAAAAAGGTGGCACTTTAACGACGGGCGGGACAACATGTTGTACCTCACCTTTGGACAGCCAATCGTCGTTGGTTTTGCTATTAGTCAAAAAGTGTTGTTTAACTCTAGTGATATTGAAAAGTCATGGTTGTCTCCATTCAGGTTGTCTCCATTCATGGTTGTCTTCATTGTCTCCAAATATACCACAGTTACATGCATGTTTGATACCTTATATACTTGCACTCCATACTTAACCATGACAGCGGAACATCGGGTACTAATTTCTTATTTCACTGAAATATTTTAACGACGTATAATTATTTTGTAATTATGCACCGCGTTTAGTTGTAAGAGTGTATCGTACTACGCAAACGTACTACGCATCGTACTACGATTTTGAGAGTGAAAATAAATCAGGAAGAAGCGAAGAATCGTCTCCAGATACTGTAGATGGCATAGCCAGCTACTGTACGCACGCGGTTCGTTGTTTCTCTCCTAGGTTTCCTTTACGTTTATTTGTACGATATGCATTGATGCCAACTGACTGCAATATTCTTTTTCACGGCAGACGACTAGCTGCTAGCTCTACTTGCCTATGGTTGTGGAACAACCATTGGCACCTTGGCGGATCCGAGAAACGAGGTTCGTCAGGCAGGTGAGGAACTATCGGTGGACGGTGTGGTGGTCTGCCAACTGCCGGCCACCAGGTTGGAGACCGTGGCCCTAATGACGGCCGCCCACGCTGTCTTCTACACAAAGTTCACGGGGCCCTGCAGGGCCCTGTTCGAGATTCTTTACCGGAGTGTGGGATTCGATGTAAACCTATCTGGCTTATCACAGAAGGTGTGGGAGGTTACCCAGGTAGTGTAGAACCAGCATCGGAGATGCCCACTTCGAATGACTGGCGACCTGTGGCTCACCTGTGGTTCAAGTGACTCGTGATTTGCGGCTCACCTGTGGCTCAAGTGACTCGCAACGTGTGGCTCACACTGCTGGAGCCTCTGTATTATGACTAATTCAGCTGCGGCGGTCTCAGTACGCCAATGAGTCTCAGTACGTCTTTCATAGCCCAGATCACGCTCGTGTTATATGCCATCCGTGGCGGTGGTTCTGTGCGCAGATGTTATTCGTTAGCCTCAGTGTTAACCATACACGCTCGTTTTATCTGCCATCCGTGGCGGTGGTTCTGTGCGAAGATGTTATTCGTTAGCCTCAGTGTTAACCATAACGCCCTTGTGAGTTGTGACCTTGAACGTCCTTCCAGTGATTTCGCAGCGGCCGGCAGAGACGAAGTTTTGCCTCCCAGTTGAGACGCCGCTTCTCAACTAGGAAGCAAAATTACGTCCCTGTCGGCCGCAATGCGCCATCACTGAAGTGCGTCCAAATTAAGATGTACCTGCTGATGCTCAGGTACCATTCGTTAATCAATTGTTGGTGTTTCAATACATTGTTTAAATGCATTCCTTATTTTACACTTGGTCATAATATTATCACATCACCCCGCATTATCAGGGGTGGTACTTTTACACCGGGACTTGATTTTACCGGGGAGTTACTCCGGGGTAAAATTATCGAAAAAAGGAGTGCTTTTTGGCATGGCAATATTATTCCCCGAATGGGAGTAATTTTAGTATTAAGTTAATAAAATTATCATCTGAGAAGTATGCGCATCTGGCTGACCTTATCCTCACTTCTGTATGGAAATATGAAATTGCCAAAATAAATTACTGTATTAAAAATCGAGATATTTCGAGCACAGCTCTTCGTCGGTCGATTGTAATTATTTACACACATAACAGGCACACAATCTATATGTGTGTAATCAAATATGTGTGTAAATAATTACAATCGACCGACGAAGAGCTGTGCTCGAAATATCTCGATTTTTAATACAGTAATTTATTTTGGCAATTTCATATTTCCATACAGAAGTGAGGATAAGGTCAGCCAGATGCGCATACTTCTCATGATGATATTCCTCAGAACGCTTAACCACTTACGAAAATTATCATCTGGTGTAATTTTATCCAAAGATAGCATACTTTTATCCTCCGTCATAAAATTACTCCCTAGCGCGAATAATATAAGCGTTCGGATACTAAATATATTCTATATGCTAGTTTTATTCCCCAAAACTCCCCATTTTAGGCGCTTATGCCAGGTCATAAAATTATTCGATTGCAGGAGTGCTTTTTGGCATTCTAAAATTAGAAAATGGGGAGTAAGTTTTTTTTTTCAGTGTAGAGACGCCCAAATAAAATAAATAGAAAATATGCACAAGCAATTTCGAGAACAATGTCGGAAGTCCGGAACCATATACTTGGTTTGATCCATCGCTATAGGCTCGTACCCCAGTCCCCAACCCACAAGATTGAATGTTCGTCGCCTTCATTCCATCGTCAATTTATTTTATAACCTCTCAGTCCTTGAAACGGGAACTTCCTGGATCGCTTTTGCTACAGCTCTATAAACTTTCTCATGCAGAAAACATTAACCCTCGCACGACCAGGCCATTTCTCATAACACGAACGACCAGGGGGGGGGGTTATTACGACCCCCCCTGGCGTTTCGAAACGGAAGGTCGTAGAGCTTAGCAGAAAAAACCAACGGATTGCTCTCAACGAGATCTCGCGATTGGTGGTATATTTTTTGGTCCTAGGTCAACATTTGACCTACTTATGACCGGTCAAAGGTCAAATTTTCCGAAAAAATCAAACTTTTTCAACTTTGCGCAACGATTGCGGCAAAACGGTGAGAGATATTAACTTCAAACCTTCAACAACGTATTCCCCACTCAATTCTGCATCATATATGGTGTTTTTGGTGTATTTACCCTATAAAAGTAAGAGGCCTATTGCTGATGAGTGATATGGTATCACATCACCCTCCAGTGTTTGTCCCGATTCGTCGGCTGTTGACCACTGCTCCGCTATAAATACTGTAGGTAACGACTCAGAAAAGATATGTGGATATCCACTGCAATGTGGATAGCATCAGCAGAAAACCTCGGGACTCGGTACACACTTCGTGAAAATCCGGCCGGAGGCTGTACCTCTTATGACGTCATAACTCCGTGACCTGACCTGACCCGGTCAATTTTCTTGCACCACACGATAGCCAATGCTTGCCCCAACATGCATGGGAAGTTTCATCATGATCCATCAAACAATGTGGGTATCACCGGCAGAAAACCTAGGGATTCGGCGCACACGTTTGGTAACTGTCGGCCGGAGGCTGTACCTCTTATGACGTCATAACTCCGTGACCTGACATGACCCGATCAATTTTTTTCGGCAAAAGATGCGCAAAGGTTGCCCCAGAGGGTATTGAAAATTTCAGCCCGCTACGACAGGCCGTTTAGCGTGCACTTCGAAAAAACCTCAGGGGGGGGGGTTGATACAACCCCCCCCCCTAGGCGTTCTAGGGTTAAAGGAATTCCTCGATGTAGTTATTCGCAGTGAACACAGCTATAGCCTATAAGCCATGTTTACCAGCGTACCACGTGTTCTATGACGTTGATATGACGTCAGCAGCATTAAATGTCTTTAACACATCGACCACAACGCTCAAACTGCGCCATTTGAAATGAATCACGAACATCCTTAGAACAGCAGACTTAGCATAGTTCAAACTGAGCCCACTTTAAAGATCACTTCTTCTGAGGATGAAGGCAGCGCAGTACCGCTGCATGGGATAAGCCCAAGAGTGTTTGTTGTGTTCAGAAGATGATCCGACGATCACGTGTGCCTTGGCCTCCATGCAACTGCTCCGTGTGACGTCACACGCCGGACCTATAGCCAGTAGCGGCGGAACACCTTCAATTAACCCGGCGGCCGCTGGGCCTCCGCGCCACCCGCCGGCCGCTGGGGGGGGGGGCATAAAGTTGCCCCCCCTTTACTTCTGCGACGATATCGTCGCAACGCGAAGAGATAGAGAAGCGAAACTTTGCACACATCTTCCTGAATACCTAGCTGAGGTTGTGTCCAAATTTGGTGTCGATCCCATTTGAAATGACGTCACAGTGACGTCATAAGTGAAATTATAGATTTGCGACTCTTATATTCCTCACGATGCATTACATATGTGGGACCGAATATAAAGGGCCGATTATTGGTCAGAAACTAGATGGAAGTGTAGTAAGATGTTTTAGGATGACAGCAGGTGCTGTCTAGTTCATTTACAGTCGAGTTTCATGCTCAGCGTCATCAGGAACGGTCCATATCGGAAAACTACAAAACTTTATGACGTCACTGTGACGTCATCTTAGGTGCTACAACCACCAAACTTTCCTCAAACATTGCCTAGGTATTCATTTGAAGCTATGCCAAGTTTCACGTCCGTAGCTCATCAGGTTTCGGAGATATTTCACAAAACGTAAAGGGGGGGGCAACTTTATGCCCCCCCCCCAGTGCAGCGGCTCGTGGGTTAAGCGGGGGCACTGCCGACTTTTGGTCCCATTCTTTCCATGCAACGCCCATAAGTCTAATGTTAAAATGCCAAAATCAAAGGGGGGCACAGTGCCCCGGTGCCCTCCCCGTTCCGCCGCCTATGCTATGCCTATAGCGCTGCATTGAGTGACCTCTAGTTGGTCACATAGAGGGGAGGGGGAGGGAGGATACCTCGGCGTCTCGATAAATTGAGAGGCCACTGAGACTGTCATGCGGAGGAGGGGAAGTCGTCTGGACTTTTTAACTGCGGTTGGACCGCCGCTGCTTCTTGACAAAACGAATTGGCAAGGTTTTTCTACATGAAGGATAGAATCCCACACAATTGATGACCGTTGAGTTGATGATTCAATTAACAGAACCACACAATCGACTGGCCCGTGCGAGAAGGGCGGCAGATAGTTATTCCCCACTCCCCAAGGCTTATTCCAGACAACGATAAATATGTACAGCAGCAGGCAACGCCGTCCAACTAATTTGGCTCTCATCTTCCGATATTTTGCACACATGAAATATTGAAATATTGAAATGTTGAAAATTAAAATATTGAAAAAAATTGAACATTGGAATATTAAAATGAAGTATTGACCCAATGCCTGGAAAACTCAGCTCATCCCTGATCGAAAAATGGCATTGCTGATTCGGAAATAGCTTATAGCGAGCTATTAATATATCTGTTACAGGGAGTTTGAGAAATCCGTGAGTTTGCAAACTCACTGACCAGTCAGGGAGTTTGAGAAATTCCAGAGCGATTGGGACGAATAAAAACAAGTGCCTGCAGCATGTGGGTGTCATACGTGCCGTCCGTGATGTTAAAACAAAGGCGGATAGTTGTATGTAGGTACGGCCTATTTAACAGTCACACGGTGACAAAAATCCTACAGATCATATGCACACCATAAATGCCTAGGTACGTAAGATTTTAAACTGTTCAGTGATCTAGCCCAAACATGTACCACCGCTTCATTTAGTCATACACTTATTTAGTTCACGTCCCAATTATAGATCCGTTCCACACAAGTGTTCCACACGTATGCCTTATATGCTTTAGCGTAAATGACCAACTGAGCTGTTTCTACTTTGATGTATTGAGCCTGAATCTGGAATAGCCACACTTGTGTGGAACGGATACAATTGGGCCGTGAACTAAATAAATGTATGACTAAATAAAGCGGCGCTACATGTTTAGGCTAGATCACTGAACGGTTTAAAATCAAAAGTATGGTGTTCAATGTGCATATAATGATCTGCAGGCTTTTTGTCACCGTGTGACTGTTAAATAGGCCGTACAACTAGTCGCCTTTTTTAACATCACGGACGGCACGTATGACACCCACGTGCTGCACACTTGTTAGTTGTTTTTA